CTCTCTCTCTCTCTCTCTCTCTCTCTCTCTCTCTCTCTCTCTCTCTCTCTCTCTCTCTCTCTCTCTCTCACCGCGAGCTCCGTGCTGGCTTTTGCGCGCCGGCCGCGCGCGTGAACATCGTCGTTTATTTCGCGACTCCGCGGCGCGGTGCGTGCAAATCCGCTTCTTTTCCTCCGCCTCTTCTCCTTCTCCTTTTCCTTCCTCGTCTTCTTCTCCCTTTCCTTCTCCTTGCCTTCTCGTTCCCGCTTTTATTTCCCGCTTTCGCTTCTCCGCGTCCTAGCGGCGTCCGTCCGCGCGTTTTCTTTACTCATTTTAAGTGTCATTACGTCTAACGCGCATTATATATTATGACTCGGCGTTCTCGGCGAGGGGACGGTAATCCCGCGCAACAAGCTTTTCGCGCTCTTAAGTCCACCGCCCTCCTCCCTCCCCCCGCCCTCCCCCTCACCCCGACGACGATGCCATCAATTCGCGTTTTCGCGCGAAGATCTCGAGTGTATCTGAAAGCACAACAATTCGCGCGGCAATTCGCGAAGATTTTGTGTCTGTAACGAGCGACAGCAGCAAGCAATACGCGTAATCTTTATTGCAAATCAGAAGAAACCGATATCTCCTTAGAATCAGTATTCCCTTGATATCCTCGAAATCTACGATTTCTCTTTTGACTTTTACACTGAATTTTGCGATGTATTCCTTAAAATGTATTTTCCTAAAAAAATATAACACTTATAATAATGCGAAGACGAAAGAAGTACATTTCCTTCTTTACTTTAATCTTTTTATTTTTATGAATTTGTAAATTTAATTAGCAAAAATCGCTAATATTTTGATATATAAACTAAGTTTCCGACGAAAAAAAAGAAAAGCATGTTTTACAGGAGGAGGATAGCATTATATTCGCTCACCGTCAAAATTTGCTCGTATACAAATATTTGTCTAAATATTTACTTTTCATGAAGCAATATATCTTATTACTATTATAGAATATTATTAAATTGATAGTTTATTTCGCGGATAACTATCGCGAGGGAGAACGCGCCTCGGACGACACGGTTGGCACAAACAAAAGGAACACACGCAGGGCCCACGCACGTCACGGCGCGAAGTGTTTAATGGCATGCACGGGACCGACGATGCTATTGCCACTCATAAACGGACGCGAGTCGTAAGGCGGAGAAATTTACCGCTAGATTGTGCAGAAACTCGATTACCGCGCAAATTCCAAACGGCTATCGGCCAAACGCGCGCGCAGTTTCGCGAGACGCTCTCTCCGGGACGATATTCTTATGGAAATACCCGCGTTGACACCCGAGCCCCCTTCGCGAGGACGTGCCGTTCCGTAAGGATATACGCTCGAAATAAAACTGCGCGTGCACTTTTATCCCCTTCGCGTCCCCTTCCCTCTACTCTCTTTTATCGTCGATCCCCGCCGCAGCAGCAGGTTCACCGTCCCGGTACCTATAGCATAAACGCGCGCGCGCGCGTCAATGTTTTCCTTCGTCTCTTCGGTATGTTGACAGTGCCCATCCCGATACTTATCTAAATTTGCGACGGTTAGGGCGAGCCTTAACAACCATCAGTTAACGTCAGCTGCAGTTGACACTAAATTCTTTCCCTTGTCTATATATATCATATATCCGGTGATACGATCCACAGAAAGTTAGCTGTACTGATTAGCTGGAATTTATTGCGCGGTTGTCAGTTAATAATTGACGATGTAATTATGATCGCGTGTATATATGTATATATCTATATATCATCGGCCTTCAATAGCGATTTTTTCACATGGGATGCAAACGAGTTCTGCAATCTTTTCATACCGACAAAATTAATATCTTCCTGATTTGATCTAAAAGACGTTATTTTATTTTTGGAGCACTCGTACAACCACTTCGGCGAACACGTGCGTCTCTCGGCACTGCAGTCGCCGGAGCCGTTAAGTCCGGAGATAGCATGTTTCAAATACGGCGAAGTCCCACGCTCAATGTAAAGTAACTATAGGTCGCCCCGTGCAATTTTCGCGATAGACTCGCATTATCGTTCGCACGTGGCCCGCCCCAACGTTAGCGTTTACGGTATATATATATATACGAGGGCTCGGTTGTGAGCACACAATCGGTTTTTTTATCCCCCGCCTCCTCAAGACTCCTGCAATCTCAAATCGCGGACGCGCGCGGTCTATTTTTGCAGGTGCATCTGTACTTCAGCGCGCTGCCGGAGGACAAGATCCCGTACGCGGGTAGCGCCGGCGAGCGGGAGCGGGTGAAGCAGCTGTTGCAGCAGCTACCGCCGCACGACAACGAGGCGCGTTACTGCAGCGGCCTGACCGAGGAGGAGAAGCGCGAGCTGCGCGTGTTCGCGGCACAGCGGAAGCGCGAGGCCCTCGGCCGCGGGCACGCGAGCCAGCTCGAGCGGCCGCACGGCGCCGGATGCCGCGAGTGCGGCCGCGCGATCGCGGCCGGCGAGATGGCCGTGGCGGCGAGCCGCGCGGGCCCGGCCGCCCTCTGGCACCCGGCATGCTTCGTGTGCTGCGTCTGCCGTCAGCTGCTGGTGGACCTCATCTACTTCTGGCGGGACGGCAGGCTCTACTGCGGCCGCCACCACGCCGAGACCCTCAAGCCCCGCTGCTGCGCCTGCGACGAGATCATCCTCGCCGACGAGTGCACCGAGGCCGAGGGTAGAGCGTGGCATATGCGCCACTTCGCCTGCCTCGAGTGCGACCGACAGGTAGGAATACAGAAATATATAGATACGACGACGACGACGACTACTGTGTATGCGTGTGCGTGATGATGAATGTTCTTATTTCGCAATCACATTAAGTTGTCTTCACGTCGGAATTTAAAGTCTGAGAGATGTTTCTCGGGAAGGAAGAAATTAGTAATAAGATTACATAAATAAGAAACGATTTTCCTAAAATGGAAAACTTGAATTTTTCGAAATTGTAATTTTCTGGATTATGAGACTGCTCTGTATAAAGTTTCTGTAGATAGATAAATATTTATACACAGTCTTAGATTTATAAATTTAAAGAGCACAAAGTGATATAAATATTCTACATCAAAAAATAAATTTAAAAACAGCTTTGTTGAAAAGTGATAATTATTTTTATAACAATTTTAATAGTTTAGTTAGTTTTTCTTTGGATTACATTATCACTTTTTTTTCAAAAAATGCAATAAATGGGAGATGTTTTATATTTGTGGCACCGTATATTCGTGTGTCAAATTTGTTCCCCGTTAACGCACGACGAAGCGACGAATGAAGATATTCGCGCGTCTCGATTACAGGGGCATGCAGCATAACGGCCCGCGTATGTAACTTCTCTCCCCATATGGAGACTGGTTGCGGTATGATGGGATCGAGTTTATAAATATATAAATGTAGAATATATCGAATTTTTCATAAGAGACGATTCCCCATGCCGTAGCGAATCGTTTCGCGACCTAACGGTACCTACTTACTCCGCGCGATCGTACTCCGCGCGCTACATCGGAAACGCGCGCCGCCGAGTTAATGATTACGTCGCTATCGAATTTACAGCTGCGTAGCAATTCATAATCCCAGCGCCAGCTGACTCTATCTCCAGATACGTCTTCCGACTTAGATACCGTCGCTCGCCTAAGAGAAACGCAGAAGCAGCGCCTTGCTTTCTTTATACCACCGGCTTGTGCGTTTGGCTTCGGGTGTGAACTTGTGAATGCATTCATCACGCGCGGGAGACCTGGGAAAAATTCAGTGGGAGAGCAGGCGGGGGAGGGGGGAGGGGGGGCGGAGGAGATTCTTATTTAAATTTACTCGACGCAATTCACTAGCATAAGTGATGATACAAGAGTTATTCTCTCCGGTCGAGAGTGCGGGATAACGTGGTATCTATATCGCGCGAACGTATACAAGAGGCGAGAGCTCTAAGAACCCTAACGCTTTATCAGATCGCCGCCGTATGTAGACTACATGCTCCAGTGAATAACCGGTCACCGGCGTAGCGCCATTATCACCGAAGCTATGCTTACTTCTCCGCGTTGAGATAAGACAACTGTGTTCCCCTATAGTTGAGGAATGCGCTACCGTTTTTCGATGCGATGTATTGCACGTCTCCTTCCTTCCTACTACATTCCGTGCGCTTTTTATTGTTAAAAAAATTGAAGACCTGCATGCGAATTTAAATTCAAACCTGTTTTGAACCTATCTAGAGAATAAAATATGACATAAGATATGTGCAAACGACATGTTTATTCATAAAAAATTGAGGTTCTTTCATTCTTTACGTTCTACTCTCTAAAAGTGATTTAGTGGAATCATCACTGATTTTCGATGATGTTATGAAGGACAGCGAATTTCAGTTATCAATACTGTTTGACAGTGATATTCACTGTTTAAATCAGTATATTATCCACTGTTTATCACAGTTTTAAAGTACACTGAAAATAAGTGATGATTTCACTGATTCACTTTTAGAGAGTAATAGTGCGCGTCGCTCGAATGCAGTTTTGTCTTTCATTTTTCGAAGTCTCGTCTTTTGTAAGACTTTCGTTCGTCTAAACGAACGATTTATTGTCTCGTTAACAGTAGAACCGCGGTTGTGCCATTTTTGACCCATCTGATTGTTTTTCTTTTCCACTGTCATTAACTATAGCTATGCGTAGACTGAATTGATTTATTAATAAAAGTATAGTATTTAGTTACTACTTTGCCCACCTATAAAAAAATCACAATAGAATAATATAGATCAATAATAACTCATCCACGGTTCTAGTATTCAATTACTCCAGACGAACAGACAAACGATTAGAAACGAATGTTTACGATCGAACGTGGCGAGCACTTTTCTTTAATGTATTGAAAAATGATAAAAACATATCGTTCTTCATTGTCGATGCAACGTAAATTTTGTGCTTGTTTGTATAATATTTGCGAGGTCGTTTATCCTCTGTATGAAGTTCGTTCGATCGTTCATTCGCTTTTCTTTGGTTGGTGTCTGATTTCACCTTTGCGATCATAAATTCATGCGGGATGCGTGCATATAGATTTATCTCTTCTTCCGTTCGCAGCTCGGCGGTCAGCGGTACGTGATGAGAGAGGGCCGGCCGTACTGTCTCAGGTGCTTCGACGCCTCCTTCGCCGAGTACTGCGACAGCTGCGGCGAGCCGATCGGCGTCGACCAGGGCCAAATGTCGCACGAGGGTCAGCACTGGCACGCGACCGAGGCTTGCTTCTGCTGCGCCACTTGCCGCACCTCCCTCCTGGGCCGGCCGTTCTTGCCGCGACGTGGTGCCATTTACTGCAGCATAGCGTGCAGCAAGGGGGAACCGCCGACGACACCGAGTGACTCCTCCGCCGGGCCGCCGCCGCCCCCGCCGTCCTTCCTCAGGTACACCGTGCTCCTCCTCTCGCATACCTCTCCTCGCCTCGAGAGGCCGCGGGTCACGGGGGTTGCTTTCATTGTCCTGCCTCCGACTGCGGGGGTCCGCAAAAATTATAGCCGCGCCGGTAACGTCCCGCGATTACGCGCGAGCCCCGCGAGCTATACGCCGGCTCCCGAGTTCGCGAGTATAAACGGAGTTTGCGCGCCGAGAAATTATTACGGCGGCGATAAATTATACTAATGTAGCCGGTTTCACCGTCTTAACTTGTTTCGCTTTGGAAGCGGAGGATGGAAACGGGAGAATCGTTGAAATTGAGATTAAAGTTGGTCGACATATCAGTGAAGTAGACTGGTCTTACGCTCTGTCCGGACGGGAATCGTGATAAATAAGACATTACTGTCGTTTATTAATCATCCTTGACTTGCGTTTAAAATATGTTAATTTTTTTATTGTATACAGGTGGCAGAAAATTATTTAGGTTTAAACAGATCGTGATTTGAGCGATACATATTTTATATTCGAGTTGACATACATTATGGCTATAACGAAATCCAAGCGTTGAGCCACGCTTGGATCATACATATATGCTTAAAGACATGTTAATGCGTCACCTAAAGAGAGGCGCCTATCGCGGTTGAATTTAAATTCGGCTTATATACATAACGACCTCGTTTCGGAGGAGTGCACAAGGAGGGCTGAATGTCGCATTTAAATTTCATTATGCTTCTAATTGTCGCGAATTTTTTCGCATGCCGCAAATGTGGACATAATTTAAATCCGGAATAAGAAGTAATTAATGGCACTCGTGCAACATAACTGTTCGACGAATCGAGATAAAAATTTTATTTATTTTTATCTCTGCTATACTACATGTTATAATTAATTAAAATGTGAAAGAGATTGTTATAATTGGATATCTTCAGAACATAAATGGCAATCTCGGAAAATCATATTTTTAATTAAATTAAGTTAAGTATATTTTATGATTTTTATGCATATATTTCTCTTTAATTCTTTTTTATCATTTTTTCATATCGTAAAATCTAATATTACATTTTTTAATTCCTAGGAGCGGTCGGAGGCAGGTGGCCATGAGCGAGGGTTCGTCGAGTCCACCCCCGCCGCCTCCACCTCCGCTTCCTCCAGGTTCGAGGCATACCCTCGGATCTCCTAGGAATTCGCCTCGAATGACCAGAAGACATCAACAAATATCCGCTTCCTTGGCGACGACGCCCACCCAGAGTGCCCAGAACGCCCTGAGCCCCGAGTTCGGCGCGGAAGGACTTTCTTCCAGCGGTTCCAGGCCCAGCGGCCTCGACAGGGTGCTTTTGGAGCGAAACCTTGAGAGGTTGTTACAGGAACGCGGCTCTCACCCTGACGAAAACAGCAGCGATTTGGGAAGGTACGACTCTTCACTATGTTACGAAAGCTTGAATTACTATCGAGTTAAGTTCGAGTATTATTATCTATTTTTCCAAATGAGATATGAATAGTATAGTATAATATAGCTAAAGACGAGCTAAAATCTCAAAACGCTCAAGATATAAAGATATAGCAGATCTAACAATAAAACTAGAATATATCCATACCAAAAATATGCAAATGTGATAAATACGATATCAGGCCGAAACGTACGATGTATTTGAATTAAAATGTTGGATTAAATAAGAAGAATTTTACGTATCAGCAATGGCGTGGACTCTTAATTACCTATTGTTAGATACCTGTATTGTTGTATTGAAATTTGAGAGTCGTAAATTATACTGTTCATTATTTTAAATACGATATTATAGCTCTTTCCATTATTTCCAAGAAATACAAATAACAAATCGCAATTGCATTGCAGGCTGATGCAAGCGCGGGATCGGGAACCCCTGAGATGCATCCAGAATTGCACGCCTACCCACGCGTCGAGCATGCCGGAACTGCCGCCACCCCCGCGGCCGTCGTCGGGAGCGTCAGCATCAATGTCGACATCGACCGCCGGCGCGGCGTCCGCCGGCGTGCTGGCGCAAGAGCCGGCGACGTCGCCGGCCAGTCCCGGGATCGGAGCCAGCCAGACGGATCCGCCGACGCCGACGTCGCGACGCGTGCGGTTCCAGGGGGATCTGGATGTTAACGATCACGGCGCGACGTCGCGCATCCCGCTCTCGCCAACGAACGACCGGAATTCGTCATCGTCGCCCTCGCCTACGTTGCTGTCGAGAACGAACGTGTCACGTTCGAGGAGTCTGCAGCCCGAGGAGGTCGCCAGCACGTCTTGGGGTGCGTAGAACTCTAATCCTAAAAAAATTAGAGGATTCATATTTTTAAAAATATAATAAATAAAGTAAGGCAGATGGGAATCGGCGTGGTTATTGGTACGCAATTTTTAAATTTTAGAATAAAGAAACGTTTGACTTTTTGAATAAAGTTATGCAAATTAAATATTGCGTACCAATAATCACGATTCCCATCTGCCTTACTTACTTATTCTATTTTTGATTTGGGGAATCTTATTAGGTTTGTATTATTCATATTTTTATTTCAAAGTGTACAACTGAAAAAGAAGCGTTGTTCTCACTTACTAAAACATGTATATATATCTTTGCAGGAACTGCAGGCACGTCCAGATCGAGGACGGACGGTGAGGATGACGACGCCGAGAGCTGTTGCTCGACATGTAGCTCGTCCAGCAGCTCGGACGAGGCCGCGGCTTACGCGCTGCCACCGCGACGAGCTTACGGCGGCGTCCGGATCTCCTACGTGCCGAACGACGCGGTGGCGTGCGCGCGGAAACGCGCGCCCGCGTCCTCGTCGTCGTCGAATCAGGCACAGAGGGACACCGAAAAGTGCGTCGTGTCTTGATAACTCCTTCGGCACTCTGCGAGTTCCGACGTCGTTGTTCCGTCGTTCATGGATAATTGCACAGGTGGAAAACGACGTCCGAGAGAGAGTTCCTACGAAGTGGACGCACTTTTCGAATATCTCTCGGAGCGTCGTCGACGCCTGCGGCACCGCAGCACGTCTCGCACGCACGCGAAGCACATGGACGTGCACGGCAACGTGAAAATAATACTCATTTAATTTCTGTAAATATTGTGAGCTCTCTTCCGGGACACGCGATCGTCGGCGCCGCGCCGCCACGTTCCAGCGGCCGCGCCCGTCCCTCTATTTTTAATACCCTATTAATGTATTTGATAATAATAACGATGACAATGATACTAAATCCCATGTGTCTCGCTGTCACTGACATTTTTTACATCCCGCTGCGAAACGAAAGTATGTACGACGAAAGTACACGCTGTTATTGGGCATCGCTCACTCTCTATTGAGTAATAGCTCACTCTCTTTCCCTGCGATTGATCCGGCCACTCGCGTGCAGAACCGAAGCTGTTTAATGTGAGTATACCTTCTAATTATACGGCATTATCCTCTCACAGCTGCATTCGATTGTTTATCATTTACCTGTACGATGATGCGATAATCGCTCTCGTCAGGGATCATTTCCTTAAACGGTGAAAATCCCAGGCAGCGTAATCATTGCGAATGGCAAACTGCAGTGCAAAATACTCATTGCACAGCTCAGTAGAATGTTTTCTAACATGATTAAATAGTTATATTTTTCTCACGGCATTACAATGCATAGCATTAATTAGTTTCATTCTTCTTCTATTTTATCAATGTAAACTCTTGAATTTTTTAATTAATATAGAAAGCGAACGCTCCGTTTGTCTCGTTTTTCTTTTCGTTTCAAATTGATACGTATATATGGTACAGAACACAGTGTAATTTAATTATATTTAAATTTCCGACGCTGCATTCACTCGCGGCTTCCCCACGACAAATTCAGAAACGGGAAAGAAGTGCGATTCACTTGAAACGCAGATTTGGCCGAACAAATCGATCGTTCGCTTTCATATTTAGACGCGAGCGGTATGGAAATCTTCAGGTAAAAGCGGCCGGGACAAGAGCGAAAATTGGAATTTACGGTCGAGTGGCGGAAAGAGCGAAAGCAGTAGCCCCTCTTAAAGGACAATCATTCACGGCATTAGTTCTCGCTCGCGTGGAGGGTACTCGTGCTTTCTCTCATCCGGCGAAGCGCGTTACACGCTCCCGGCGAGATATTGCATCTGACAGATAGCACGTCAAAATTCTAGCCATTAAGAATTTACCATTCTTCCAATCTGAGATCTTTCGAAAGGCCCGGTCATTAGCATACGCGCACTTACGACCGCGCGCGGATTGATGTATTGCCTAATCGACGTTTTGAACGATGTCCGTCTCGTTTGTTTGAACGATAGAAACGCCCGAGACAGGATCTGATAAGTCGGGTCTTTGATTAAGGCGTGACTGGCTTGTCTCGTCTGTGAGCAGGTGACTACTCGTTTTTTTCTTTTACCTATTCATTCTTCTCAAGATGGAAAAGAAACCCCGCCTTCTTTTTTGTGTGTCAACTGTATTTCCAAATTTTTTAAGAGCATCGAGAAAGATATTTTTAATTATATTTACCGATTTACTAAATAACAAAAAGTAAAATTACGTTCATAAATATTAAATTATTTGATACTACGTATCTTATGATTGCAAATTGAGTAACGGCATTATATTGGATATGTTCGAAGCAATCGATGCTACAAGATGCTATTCTATTAAAATTTACATATCTTGAGTAAGTGGCTATAGATCTTGATTAAAAAGAGATTAATGGGGGATCATAATTCAAGCATTTCACGTGTATATCATAATTTTGGTATAACACGTAGCGAGATCTCAAGGATTTTTTTTATTTCGATATCCACCGAAAAAGCTACGATTTCTATTGTAGATCATTAATCTCCATATTTAATCGCGACATAGACTTGCTTCATACGTTGTAAATCTTTACACATTATGTATGAACAAAGTAAGAAAAGATAAAAATAAGTAAAAATATTTAAAAGCTTTGAAAAAAATAATTTGTAAAAAATATTTGATAACGAAGGGAGAATTTTTTATAGTATAAATCGGATTACAGTTGCAAGTCTGCGTTCCGAAAAAAGGGAAAAAAAAATAGAAAGTACAGATTTGGCGCAATAATAATCGTTGTTTGGCAATTAAGAGAGGTCTTCGAAACGCATGGTCGCAATTAAATGTATATAGATATATATACAGGAAGTGTGCATGGCGTGATCGTGAGGAGAGACGCCGGAAGATCTAGCACGCACCACCTCTGCGCATGGAATGCGATTCGACGCGCCTTTCTTGCGCCGTGAAAATCGGTATAAACGCCATATGTGTGCGTGAACCAGGCCGCGATTACGCAACTATCGCGTGCGGCGCGTGATTTCCGAGCCGGTAGCCGCCCGCTAATTACGCGCCCAAAAGAGAATGCCCCGCGTCTTGCACAAAACGATTCTGCGATGTACCGAAGAAACGGAACCGGGTCGTAGCTGCGACGCGCCGTTATTCCTTCGCAACGGACGAGCGGCCATTTGAATTCGGATCCGTCCGAGAGAAAGTTTTATTAGGCGCGAAGAAAGATGTGGAAAAACGCAGAAAGCAAAAAAAAAACCTGAAACTTTGAAAAGCGTGAAACCATTGTAATTTTACATGTTGTAAATTAGAATTGCAAAGAAATATGTGAATGAAAGAGGAAGACCGAGAATCTAGTTGTATAACTAAATTACATAATTGAAAATTGAATCGTAAAAATTAAGTACCAGTATTGTGTTTGCGTATATCTCGCTGCGCGATAAGCAAACCGCGTATATTCACAGTTATATATCTCTCTGTGAGCGCAGAAGACGCAGTTCTCTCGTCCTCGGCAAGGAAAAAGTTCCGGCCCGCGCGATGTATCATCATTGTTGCGCCGCTTACGAGCCATGAGATCACGCGTGTAAAAATACCGAATACCGCTGTTATAATCCCCGCGTCAGTCCATTCACCGCAACGCTACTCGTTACCCGTGTGATGGATGTGGCATACCACGTATCGGAATACCCGCGCCCCCGTCCCCGTCCTGCCTCCGCGCGCGCGGTATTCGCGTTCGCGATTGATCGATGACACGTAATACTCGCTCGCGCGCGCGGCGGTCGTTACGATCCTACGACGAGCGGCGAGCGAGACGCGGGCGCCGATCGATCGGCGGAACGCGCGAGAGGGAGGGTGGGGGGGGCAGCGGGAGCGACGGAGCGGATAGGAAGGACGACGTGCCTCCGTGACTTCTCCTTCGAGGCCGGCCGAGGGAGAGGCCGCATTCCGAGCCGCGCAGCACGGGAGAAAGCCTCTCGTGCGCGCTTAGCCCGCGGGACGACGGGCGAGCCTTCGGAGGTCGACCGAAGCAAGCTTCTCTCTATCTCTCTCTCTTTCTCTCTCCTCCCCCCGTCCCCCTTTTCTTTCTCGCACCGCATCTTGCCGTAACACGCCGACGAAATTTCTCGTCGATCGAGAACGCAACGTGCCACCGCTCGCCAATATACGTGTCGACGCGCCGGACGCGAAGTGACCGTATCACGAGGTTGCGATACTCGAGTCTCTTTCGAGTCTCTCGAGTCTCTTCCCTCCCCCCGAGAGGTGTTTACGGACGAGCTCGGGTTTCCTTTCTCCGTTCGGTTAACTTGTAATACATACATCTACGTTTTGTATTAACTGTCAAAGTATATGTCTTCTTTTTTTCTTCAGTTTACAGTGATTACTTATTTCGAAAAGAGCATGTCATTTCGTTTAATTTTGATGGTCAATTTTTTCCGGTTTGTATTCCTCCGATTAGTTTCTACGAACACACACACACACACGATACCTGTCGATATTGACGCTTTTTTTAATGACGCTCGCATTATACTATCCCGAGGATACTTGAGTGGACAAAGGCGTTTATATACGACTTGTTTCATAACGAGCATATTGAAAAAAAACTGCGACTCGATTCGATGAAGAAGTCATGTACAATCTTCGTCCCTCTCGTTACGTAAACACCTGGAATAGGATCTACGTCTCTTTTTCCATGCGAAGCAACACCTGTCCGACAAATTGTTAAAGTTCTCTCATTACGCAAAAAAATAGTCCACACATGTTTAAGTGGCCATCTCTCTCTTCCTCGCCGGCTCCTTCGATTTTCTCTCGGTCGCAAAAACGGCCGAAGGCTGTGCGATTCGCGACGGAGGTACGTAAAAGCGTACGTATAATACGATTGCGTGCGGACGGGGTCGATGCTACACGGCGTTCGGCGTCGCACGCGGTGCGAGTTGAACGAGCGAGCGAGAAAGATCGCGTATATCAAAATGTCCCTCTGCCCGGTCTCTCACGTCCACCACTTTCCATTCCGCTGCGCCGCGCGGGAAAACACAGGCGGGCGCACCTGCGTGCACCTGGTGCGCGCCGATTGCCCGTCTAATTGGATAAACGATATTGGGACTGGAGTACCGCTAACGGATGAGCGCGCGCGGTCGCCGGTCACCGAACGCACAGATCGTATCGGGGTTACTGGCACCCCGGCGTCTCTCCCGACGATCTCGCGGCCGTTTAAAAAAGACGGCGGAAGGTCGAAGATCGAGGAACGGGGAATCCAGGCTCGTGACGGTCCGACGACGTCACGATCGCGCGCGGTGCGTTGGTGCTCGTTCCCTGCGTTCCGATCGGTCGACGATCGATGCCGCGGGGGGCCGCGCGAGCCACTTCTCGAGCGCATACCGACGACTACGCAATGCGGCTTCGAATGAAAGCCGCATTCGAAAAATTGGTTCTCTCTCTCTCTCTCTCTTTCTCCTCTCCCCTCTGCAATACGGCCGGCGGGAAAACGCGACTAACGCGAGCGATAATTCGAAGCGCGCACACGGAGAGAATTTTTTTTAAATTCACCCTGCAAATCACGTTAATTGTGAGACAATATAGTATTTAGGCACATTTTACTGCGCACTACAATAAATTTTACTGTAAAATCGTGTTGTTGTAGCGCACAGTAAAATTTGCCTAAATATTATATTGTTCCACAATTAACATGATTTGCAGGGTAAATTAAAAAAAATTCTCTCCGTGCAAGGGAAAACGACGTGAAACATATATATGGATAGGATACTCCCATCAGGCGAAATTCGGAACGCGTACAGGAAACGCGTTGACCCTCGTGAAACGTTTTCATCGCGATTTGGCGCGATTGCTCAACGCGGGACTTAGCCATTCGTTCGTGATTGAAATTCCGATCGCGGTGAGGACCGATTGAGTCAAAAGTCTGACGAAATTTCATAGACAGCCGCGCGCGCGCGAATGCAACTCAATCGGCGCGCGATTCACCAGCCGAGAGACGCTCTTGCATCCGAGACGCGGCTGCTCTCCCGGGAATATTACGTAATGTAGCGTTGTTGCGATTTTTATTTACGCGCGACGTGACGTTTCAAGGTAATTCGGGACTGCGGAAGTGGCGTAGCACAGTTTCCAGTGTTTCCATACGTTCGCGCAAATATTTTCACATCCCACACGTTGAAATGCAGGGGTGTGGGCAGCTCGCGAATAGAATGGACACCTTTTTCTTGCATAAGCTCTCGCAAATCATACATTTTAATGTAATGAAATAAATATAAAATAGGGCATATTCTCTCTTCTATATGTTTTACGCAGCGCGAGGCGCGTGCTACGCTTGTGTTGTGCTAATTATTTTTTTTTATCGCAGCGCATAATATTACGATACGGCATTACGAAAACCGGCTAAGCGGTTTATCGCTCATTTATGATTCATTCGGAATTGAATCTGGTATATTTCTGAGATACATTAAGATCAACTGTCGCGCGATGTTGTCGCTGCACCGGTTGCGCTACGTCCCGCTGGTTTATCTTACAACACACCTGTTGTATTTAAAATTGCGCAACAGAAAATTCCTTCAGAAGTTAGTCATAATGTTGTAAGATTTTATTTATTAACGTTTAATTCATATCACTCGATCCAGGCCAACGGTTCCTGGCCTTGATGTAATCTCGCTTTCCATATTTTAGAAACCTCGCAAATTTCGATCGATTCGTTCTCACCTTCTGAACTTATTTCCAGCTAAAAAGAAGATCAAGCGACGAGCACGATTCAGTCCAATTCAACTATTCTACACAGGAAAGAACAGATTTTGCTGAAATATCTAAAACTTAGCCAAATACAGATCTGAAAGATAATTTTGCCGGACTATGAAAATAATTTTGTAAAACGTTCAAGCATATAATGAGCTTGGCAGCAGAAAGATTTGACATTTTAGAACCACTTAGAGCGTTCTATTTCCACATCATTATTTTGATGATCTAACGAAATTATTTTCAGATATCTAACTATAAATTTTTAGATACTTTAAAGCAAAACGAGCGCACGTGCGTAGAACGCATTCTTTCTGCAATACATTCCTTCGTATCGCGTTTGCTTCGCGCTACTCGCAGAACGAATAATTGTCGCGTTCCCGCGTCCCCCGCTTCAGAGCACTCTTTCTATCCGTAACGGCCTGTCATTGCGTAAAGTGGCGTGATTGAAAAATTCCAACGGGAGACTCCTGTTTCGGCATGGCTTTCGCGGAATGTCGAACGGCCGCTCTTCTGCGCAGCACAGATCTCGAATTTACTACGGCACGTAGTAAAGGTCCGGAGGCGCGCGCGGAGTACCTCTCGCGTCTACTCCCCGGCGCGTAATTCATCCCGGAGTTTTTCAAGCGTCGAGCTCGCTCGCTCGCTCGTTCGCCGGGAAGGCAGGTATTCGGGCGAGCGAGCGAGCCTGCTCCGGCGGGCTGGTGGGGCCAGGAGAGGTAAGGCAGTCAGGTAAGAAAGCGGGCGAGCGAGTCCTCGGCTTGGTGGAGGTGGGAGGCAAAAGTGGTAGTGGAGGAGAGCGTAAAGTGAGTTTTCGCTCGCGGCGTTCGCTCGCTCCGTCCGCCCGCCCGCCCGTCCGCTCGCTCGCTCGCTCGCTCGCTCGCCTAGCAGAAGCGAGTCGCCGTCAGTCGTCTACGCGGTTCCGCGGTGTCGCGGTGGCCGATGGTATTATCCCGCGAGTAAAGTGGTGCTGCCTGCGCTCCTCGAATTCTCTCGCGGATTTATTCTCGCCTCCCCGCGGACGTGCGACGCCGAGCATCCGGTCGACTTGGCTACCAAAATGGCCGCGCGCTGAGAGAGAGCTTCCCCCGGGTTCCCTGGTGCCGCGGCTCTCAACGGCCGATCCGGACCCCTTTCGGCTGCAGGTGCTCATTCTTTTTTTTTTAACGATGACGTCGGCACAGAAAGAACGCCTCGGATAGGATCCTTCACTCGCGCGGGAAGGAAGGAGGAAAGGAGGGAAGAAGCGGAGAACGAAAAGGAATCGACGTTGGAGCCAGGTAACTTGAGTTTAAGCTCATCTAAACTCTCTACGGCTTCGGACGCCACCGAAGTCATGTGCAATACCATACATACATACAGCCGATGAGATAACCGTTCTGATCGGCATCTGAATGAAAATACATACGGCGCGTGATAACATCGGCCCGGCCGAGGTCGACGGCATCCACATGGTGGCTGGTTACGTTCTCCATGAGAAATAAGCCGACGCTAACTACCCGTCGAACGTGACGCAACCACAGGAGTTGAGTATCGCTCCCGTGATTCTTTAGCAAGAAACGTACTTCGGCAAATATCCTTGTCTTTCGATATTATAGTTTGAGGATAGAAACCACCCCACGAATTTACGAATCTACCCAATATTATATCGAGAGGATTTAACACTTGAAGATGTCAAAACTGGAGCTCAACTAATGTATAAAATAAAATTAAAAAAAAAACATATTTTATTGATTTTATATTTATAATTAAAATTTACATTTACAAGAAATAAAGATCTATGAGAAAATATAGGGGCATTTAAAATTGTAAAGATGCGTCCGATCCTCGTACAGTTTGTGTCGCGTTTGATAAATATGAGATAATATACACATGTCTATTGTTCATAAATTATATACTAGTCAGAGAGGAAAACGTGTTGTTAGTTAGACTAAAGAGAAAATTAGCCATTCGCCTCGTAAGACCTCGTAATATTTACTTATATAAAAGCGAAAACAATTGTTAATTTACGGTTTACGGCTCAATTAATTAAATATAATTGAATAATCATCGATAATACCGTGTGGAACCGATCAGAGCCGGGTGTCGCCCTCCGAATTCCGGGTGTCCTTTCCGCGCCGGATCTACGCCGGACGTCACGTAGGAGCGCGTTATCGTTTTCTATTCAGCTGCGCGCGTGTGTCGTAACGCCGACGGGTTTGTTTATTTCGAGGGAAAACGGGACGCCGTGCCACGCCGCGCCGCCAACGAGCACGGGATGTTAATGAGTTCGACGACGCTCGCTGGAATGCCGCAGCTCGCTTTCCATAATACATACATCGCCTCCGCGGCGGCGTTCTCCATAAACGTCTCGCGTTCCCCGCCCCGGCCGTCGGCCCTCTCGCGCAGCGCTGCGTGTATACATACCTCCCGCTCTCGCGTATACGCGAGATAACATCGCGACCGCCGGCCGGTCCAGGTATGTGGGTAGGAGAGCCGCGGAGTGCAAACGAGCGCGATCGCGGCAGGAACGCCCCGATCGGCCAAGGCCGCTCGAATAACGTCCTCGTATGATTCGACATCGAGTCAGCAATCGGCGCGGCGCGGCGCGGCGTCGCAAAGTCTACTCGAGTTCAATATCGCTATTTTCCTCCATTTCCTTCTTTTGCTCAGCCATTTTTCCGATTTCCTATATAATAACGAATAAATTAAGTAAAGAGAATTATTAGATAATCATTGGATAATCTTAAAGACAGATTCATATTATATTATTGGTGAAGACGTTTATAATACTTAATTTCGTACACGAAAGATGTTGGAATTGTCAATGCAGAGATTCATTAACCTTTGGAAGATTGGAGAGGGGGATGTTTATTTTTAAAATCTTTTCCTTACAAGCTTTTCCCCTTAGATAAGATTCATAATAATTTATTGTATTCCTTACCTCAAGAAATATGACACTGTTTTAGAGCCGCTGCAGTGATTCTCCCATCTTATAAAGGTTAATTTTACGTAAGACCAATTTGCATTTGACTATTAATTTCTATACTTCCCCGGAAAAAAACTCGTTAGAACTCGTGCGAAAAAATCCCAAGGACGAACTAAATTTGCGTCGCGTCCGACGTCGAGGACGAAGCGGATGAATTCCCCCGGGTAGGTCCCGAGACTCCCGAGTGATTAAATGAAGGGCACTCGCCACTTCCGGGGGGGACCCAATGCGCCGACTTCCGCGTACGCCTCCGGCGCGACGGGTCCCCGCGAGTTTCCTCAGCGCCGGCGCTGGATGCGTTCAGTGAGAACAGGAAGTCAACGAGTCAACGAGATCAACGGCATCGCGTTCGCCGGAATGCCAGGTAGCTTTCCAGGACGTAACGAAGGAGAACCGTTCCACGTACGTTGCGGTCTTAATCTCCCACCTCTTCTTCTCCCGAGAGCCACCTCCCGGCGCCGCTCGCTCGCTCGTTTACGCCGCTCCTCGTGCACGCGGGCCGATGTATCAATGAGAACGATCAACGGCTTCTTCTCGCAGTTATAGAAGGCACCTTCGAGACCAACAGAATCTTATCTAAAGGATATTTGCGAACGTTTCTTGCTACAGAATCATCGGAAGCAATACTCCTATATACGGATCAGTCTTTTCTATCAGACCCCCATCAACTTCTAAATGAATCAGTCTAGCTTCAAATCACACAATTCATATATAAACAATAATTTTTATTTATTATATATATATTATATGTATAATAATATATGTTATCTTATATATAATATAATAACTAAACATATAATATTATATAGTAAATATTATAATATTATATACATATATATTTTTTTTTATCTGTTTTGTGATATTTCTTTTGGTTGCTCAACTTCTCTGAGATCGAATCGACGAGATGAAGGAGACTGTGATACGTGGAGAACGGTCGAATATTCAATGACTAACTAAGCCGAGATGTGTCAAAATGAATAGAGTCCTTGCGACCTTGCCGAGTCCTTTTGTCCTCTTTTTGCGCTATCCCATACAGCCAGAGAGAATTTTCGGTGACTAATCGAATTCGCGTGCATTAGTCACGCACGCTGCGAAATGTTTTTGTGCGCCGGACTCAGGTTACTCGGAATTATTTTCGATTCAGACTGCAGGGATTGTAGAATTCCCGGAACGCGCCTGCTTTTAATATCCCGTATCCTTTGCTGCATGTACAAATCAAGTGCTGAGAGAAAATTAGTCTCTCGTTGTCTCTATCGATTAGCCTTATCGCAACTGCGAGGTAATGGATCTCGACGTCGATCTGTGCATCGACAATAAGTAATGACTTGCATTAATAAAAGCGCGCGGCGCGAGCTGCGTGGAGGGGGGGGGGGGCGAGAGGAGTGTGCAGCCATGCCTACGTTTATCTTCGTTTATCCTCCTCCTCCGCGTACAATTTATCGTCGGTACCTCGTTCATCAATTATCTACCTTGCGTACGGCATTCACCTCTTCGCCGCTTCGCGTTGACAGCTCCTGCCGAATGACCCGTCCATTTTCCGGCACGCGAAATCGGTAATAAGTCGAGTCGAGCTCTTCTTGCGTGCTGTTCCGCTCTGAACGATTCCGTAATAGCTGTTATTTTTACGTACTTGCTCGGCCTCTCACCGAGCAGAGTCATCGGAGGGAACGAACCTCATCGGAATGCCCTGGGTGTCCGTGCTCGCTTTCCGTGGCGAAGGCGGGAACTGTGCCCTGTGTGCCTATGCGAAGAATTCTCGAAGAACCTCTCCGCGCGATCTCCGAGCTTCTCTCTCCGACGTGTTTGAAATTTTCGCACCGCTTCCGCGATTTTAATGAGAAAAACGCCCGGAGCACACAGAGCTCAGCTCATGAAGCTTGATAAGTTAGTTTTTACATCGACAATTTTCTTATCCCCCCCCCACCCCCCCCCTTCTCCGTTAATTAAACGCGAAACGTTTTGGAATAATTTTCCTCCAATTAGGCGCCTTCGAGATGCCTTTCTCTCGTCTACTTTAGCAAAAATTCGCCTCCGATTTAACACGCGCGCTGCGAAATTCTTAATTATCCATTACGCAGACAAGACTCTTCCTTTCCACCAATTAGCCTGCCGCGGTATATACGTCCTCACCGCGCGCAGTTTAGGGAAACAATGCCTCGCGCTGTATCTGTTCCTGCCGCGTTGCTTCCCACGTAGGAAATTCGACGCCTGAATGGGACTCTTCATCGACGTCGCTCGATGTGTCACCGACGACGGTGGGAAGATCGTTTTCAATGCCCCCGCGACGCGTCTTCACGCTTCCATTCCTGCAGTTGCGAATTATGTGCAACGTGCAGATGGTTCCAATCCGGCGATATTTTCACGCCGTTTGACTACACTCGCGTGACAGGGCTTGACAAGAAAGAGTTCCCTCACGAAACGTGTCGCGTTTGTCGCGTCTCCTTTATGCAGAGGCACGCCATTGTGTGCTGGAAATATTCTTCGGATGATAGAGAAATTAATAAAATATATTCTTGTTTATTTAAACTGTTAATATTAATCTTCTTTAGATATATCTACACATTTATTTTTCATGTACATAGTTGTGATTACCCTACGAGAGTTTAGGGGATCTTGTCTGTTCATTATAGTGCTCAAGAAAGTTGTAAACAATTTTTTTTTTAATCAATCGAAAATGAAGGGAAAATGTCTACTCACTTAAAGAAGTAATCTATATAAAATTACAAATACATCGAAAAATATGACCCCTCTATTTACTATTAAAGTTTCGAAATTTCACTGGGGTCTCAGAGACCCAGAAGTGTTAAACAAACAAAACGTTCCCGGTGAACTCGATGCAATGCTCGAGCGTTATCGAGCAGCTTTTCGAGGTGGTGATGGAGGGGGGGGGGGGAATTCCGGTTGGTTCCCGTGACAGTGGCCGCTTCTCACGTCTGCGACTCGTGAAAGAGGAGTTAACGATGAGATAATTACCGGCTGTGGTGGCTGCAGCGCACCCATTGTTCGCCACCGATTCTCCGACGTACGCGCACGTACCTCCGACACAGCGGTATCTCTCGTCGACTTCGATGACTCATGAGCGCGCCATGCGCGGCGAATAAACGAATATGCGGTGGAAAGTATATATGCTCTATACCTGCAAGAAATAAATCGAGCCGCGGAATTCGCGTTGCGAAATTGTGTCTATCCTCGTTTATCGGAAATGTAAATTCCTCCGTACTTTTCCCCGGTTTAATTTTCAATCGGTTCTGCAAAGTGACTCACGGCGACGCAAATGAACGGGGCCGAGTCGAAAGGAGATATTAGTTCTTTAATTAGAAATTGTTTTATTTCAATTTTTTTTATTTTGTACCTCTGTTACTATCTCTTCTATTCTTCTCGATTAAATCTTTTATTCTATGTCCTTATGAACATGTAAATTCTGCATTTGAAAAACCTATTGTTCCCTTGTTGAATTTAATCTTATAAAATTATTATTTTTTCTCTTTCCATTTTGCGCAATTTAGAGATTTCATTACGCAATTACATTGTTCTTAAAAACAGTTTTAATAAAATTATGAAATAAAGTCACGCGCTTATTATTTACTTAAGCATTCTATGTATATAAATAAATTGTCATACATTTATGTTTACACAATTATTTTATACTTTTTATTGAATAATATTTTAAACATTCAAAGCTATAATAATGAAAGAAATAAATGTATATGTGTATAACATGTAGAAATGTTTATTAATTGCTACAAGGCTACGATTATTGCTTTGTAGAAATAATACAATAAGATTTAAATAGTTTTTTGATGACACTAGAAACAATATTTTTATTAAAAAATATTTTTACCAAATGGAAGAACGTTGAGTATAAAATCGTATACCCCCTCCCCTCCACCCCTTAATGATCCAGTTCCTAAAACTTGCCAAAGAAACTCTCAGCGGGATCAAAGGATCCTGAAAATAGGAATTCAACTATTCTTCTATAATTTACACCGTGGAGAAGTTTCGGAGGGTATAATCAGTTCCACGTCAGTCATCACGCCTGTTTAGAGACGACGCGTCCCTCTTTTTTTACAAAGGGCGCCGCGGATTGCTTATATAGAATACTACGAAGTGTCGGGAGATGATTCATGCTGTGAAATTTAATCATTTTTATTGTTCGACATCTCTCTCTCTTTTCCTCCCTCCCTCCCTCCCTCTTTCTCTCTCCGCGCGCAAGCACGAAACACGCTCAGCCTCTTTCTCTTTCCGTTTGTCCTGACGACTCTCGGTAACTCCTTTTACGCGCGTCCTTCTGCCTCGCCAACGGAAGCGTAGGAGGAGGAGATGGAGGTAGTGGTGGTGATAGTGGTAGAGCGGCAAGGAGGTCGCGTTCATGTAAGAGACGCCGTGTATCCTTCGAATTATGCGATCCGCGGGATCCCGGGGCTCGCCGGGCACGATCGCGAGGATCGATAGCGGGTCGAGGAAAAGTACGCCGTACTGTTGCTCTTCTCCTCCTTCTCCCTCTTCTGCCCTTGCCTCCCGCGCGCGCCGACGTACACTCAGCCTCTTCTTCTGATCCACTCGTTACGTGTTTATTTTGCAATTATTACGTTCTCGCGCCTGGCATGCCGACGTACATCATCGCCGATTAACGGACATCGGAGTGGTGTGCAAAGAAACGAGCGTCTAACACACGGCGAAAGCTACCGCCTGCTATAAGGACTGGCGCGGGCGTGTTTGCGAATGTATAATGTTACGTAGGCGCGCGCTTCTTGTTCCAGTGGCATGCTTCCGGTGAAATATGGAAGTCTCGTTATTACTAAATCTGCCCCTTTTATCTACAATAACAAGTTGAACTAGACCGCTAAGTCGAATAACACGATTACATAGAGAGAAGCTTTTAACGAGGTCGAAGCTGAATTTTGATTAATAATATTTCTATAATGTGTGAATTGTAAATACTTTTTATCTAAATTTTTGTTATTGCCAAAAACACGTTTTCATCAAACGCTTTTCATTCCTCTTTCCCTCACCCCCCTCCCCTGGTGCATCTTCGATTTTATTTCACATCTCGAATGGTGATTTATGAAATTCTTTTTTTCTCAATGTCCGTGACTGTGCAACGCTCGTTCTTTTATTTATTAGTCAGCACTCGACGAAATCGTTAGGAAGAAATCTTTTCGCCTATTTAGAAATAAAAGTAACGCGTATGGGGTTTTAATTAAATATAAAATTAAATTACAATGTTTACAATGTTACAATTGATGTAACAAGATCAAGCGTTGCGTAATTGCGAATAAAACGCAGTGTGTGACGGCAAGGTTACGGCACTTGTGCGTCTTCTTCTTCCGTGCGAGCCGATTCTTCGCATAAGAGTGGATTCCATCTTCACATGAGCCATTTCCCACGCGTCTTCGCGAACGGGCTGAATTAACATGCGACCGGGCAGGCAGTCGATCGTGCAATCTGCCGCACGTGAACCTTTCCACTTTTCACTTTTCACCTTTTCGTCTCCCACACGAATCTCTCCTCCATTCAAATCTTACGTGTTCGCGTGCCAAAAAGAAAAAGAGTTACTCGAGCATAATTTCGGCAAACTCATGTGAAGATTCCCACTTCTTATCGTTTCTTGACACGCGAAACTTTCACTGTTTACTTACCTTCTCACTTTTAAGAGTCGATTGCCTACGATCAATAACGATGCTTGAGATAAATTAAATTTTATAAAAATAATAAACTAAAGTTCTCTCCTTTCTGTTTATGCTCTGTAATTTCTCATGCTTTAATTGTCGCATACTCAGCTCCTAAAGTCTGCGTTTTGCTCGTATTTAAGATCGATGCAGACGAGAATCGGACAATAACATTCGTTGTACTGAATATTATACGCGCCTTCTCGTATCCGGATGCGGATTCTGAGAAAAGTGCGGCCATGGCCGCTGACCGATCGCAATCCGAACGGCGATCGAGATTGAGGATCGATCGTAAATAACAAAGTTCATCGCTCGACTTTCAGATCGGCCTCGCCGAAGCGAGCAGGAGCGACTGGACTCGTCCATGCCGGGCAGGGCGGAAGGACTCAGCAACAGCAGCAGCAGCAGGTGGATCTCGGGAGTGTGAGAGGAAAAAATCGCTGGTGGAAGACACGCGGAAGCGTGACGTCGTAAAGGACGCTCTGTGTGTCGTCTCTTACCAGAGACTGGTTTCCCTCGCGAAAACACGCTCCCACGGAAGGATGTCGCTGAGAACGGGACGCTCGACGCTCCTCGCGTCGCTCCTGACGCTGCTGATGACGATAATGACAATGACGTCCTGGCGAACCGCCCACGCTCACGTGGCTCTGACATTCCCGCGAGCCAGGCACTACGATCTGGACTTCCTGGACAACGCCAGGACGCCGGCTCCGTGCGGCATGCCGCGTGGTGAGTAATTTGCTTTAAATCTATTAGCTATTGTTTCGCGTATATGGTACATCTAAGCGTTTTCTTAGAATTTCTCAATAGTTAATTTGCAGTCAGAGTCACTTTTTCTTTAGCGAAAAGATTAATTATAATTGAAAAATATATATATTTCTGGAAGGCAAATAAAATAAACGTATATTTTTAAAAAGTGAATAGATTCAACTTCTCTCACGTATTTCGATTTTTGAAAATATATTTAAAAAAGTGTAAAAGTCGGATATATTTAATAATAAAACCAAAAATTATTTTTTTTAAAAACAAAATGGAATGTAAAAAAAATACTGCAAAACGCAGTATCTCGAGCGTTCTCCGATCTTCGGCGAAACATCGGAATTACGTAATATGTACGTGCGCGACGAGGATTTGAGATCTCTATCGGAACTGTCGGAAGCCTCGATGGCATCGAGAGCGCCTCGGAGTGTTCTCCGGAAATCGCGGCGCAGGCACTTTTCGCGCGCTCGTCTCCGGCTCTCGGCGCGGCAGGCAGGGGGTGCGGGAGGGTTGAATGCGATGGCGCGACGGGGCGCGCAGGGGGCACGGGTTTCTATGGGAAAACGACATTAACGCGGACGCTCGATCTCCCTCTCGCGGTGGGGGATATACAGCCCGCCGACGTCGCCGCCAGTCAGTCCGATTCGAAGCGACTTTCACCGGCTTGTATGAAGGGAGCGCGAGCCTCTCGGTGTACTCGCGCGGGCATTACCTTTCATGTTTTACGCGTATCTAACCGCCGATACCCAGGGCCGCATCTACCATAGAGGGGAAGAGCGAAGGCTGACCGTGGTAACAGAGTCAGGAAGATCGCAACGTGACCTTCCCCGTAAAGAAAGAATTTCAAGATTGAACGCACATGAAATGAGATGGACACGATATGAGAGTAACGCTGATAATTGCGTTAGATAGGTATTTAATCTTCTGATTGTGAATCAAGAAAATAAATATCCCGGAGGGGTTTCATATTTCCATCTTTTCCATTTCAAAGTCCGCAACAGCGAAAGAGTTAATACGAAGAACTTTCGAATCGTGCCTCTTGAACACTCTCGTGACAAGAAGCATATTTTTGAAAAATCAGAGGAGAGAGAGAGAGATGGAAAAGGAGTATTTATTATTTACACTCTCTCTCGGATCCTTAACTTTTTCCTCTAATTTTCTTCTTTGGACGGTCGATCTATAATGGGAAAGCCAGTGAGGTTGGAAAGCTGAGAAAAAGGAGATCGTAACTCTATTACGTTTTCACATTGTTGCGGCAAACGCAGACGCGAGGTCGTTCGCAATTACCTTGCGCGGTGTCATCGATCCTCCCTCCTCCCCCTCATTTTTCCTTGCGAAAGCGTAATTAAGACTACGCCGTAGATGGCACCGCGGCGGGTTACGTAAGTGACAGAGAGAGAGAGAGAGAGAGAGGGAGAGAGAGAAAAGAGAGATATCATTATTCTCTCCCGTGTGCAGAGTAACGAGAATTATTCGTTGGCTCGAGAAAAGGAGGCGACGACGAGTGCCCTCTTCTTCTTTTTCTGGAGAGACTTCTTTTTCCATGCGCGCCGCGCACTCTCCACCACTCTCATTTATCCACCTCCTCGCTCATTATCGGGGAGGTGATTAATTTGTGCCACGCCACTTATTCTCTCACGCGTCACAACGAAATTGCGAAAAAGTCGCGTAACCGGTCGTCGGAAAATTGCGGGCTCGAATGCGCGCGTCACGCTACATAAGTGCGTACGCGGTTGCGTAGTGACATTTACGCCGACCATAATTGACGAATTAAAAGATTGCGATTGTATCTCTCTCTCTCGTTTGCCGCGACACTACTCGGTTACGCGGTCCAATTATGTATTATTTATTACATTACTTCTCGACGTTCAGCTTTCGTCGTACTCGAAATAAACTGAAGAATCTGTTACGAAATAAAAAAGGAGACATTTCTATTTAGTAAAAAGTGTTGTTCGTCCAATTTTGAATTCTAATTACAATTGCTATCTTGAATAAGAAATAATGCTGTGATAAATTTTATACATTCTCGGAAAAGGTTTCTGGGAAAATTCTTGTCGCCGGTACAAATCTACTTGACTGAACGTTCCCCCGCGATTTTTATTAACGTTGCCTTACCTCACATTCAATTCTGGATTGTAATGAACTAAAACTAGCCGCGGTTTGACTTGACTGCCTTCGCGATTGCGCTAACGCGCACCAGCTGCGCGAATTACCAGGCAATAAATTTTTCTTTCCGCGGTTATAATTTAATCGAGCCGCTCCGACGGCTCCGCTCGGTCAGTGGTAGAGAAGAACCGCTTTCCTTCCGGAGGCGGCTTGGGGAAGCGGAAGGGGCCGGGTATTACGGTAATACCGGAAAAGTTGATTAAAAGTACCGGCGGGTATATATGTATAATCAGTTATTTGCATTTTTATTAAATTAATGCATAAACTTCGTGGATTTAGCACGTTCTATGACATGTACGGGATATACCTCTCCCTTTTTTCCCCCAAGTAGTTATATCGTAATAAAAAGAGTCGACAAATTACGAGAAATAGCGATATTATACTGTACTAACTACGGAAAATATATTCGTCCCGTTGCTAGTTTCTAATTTCGTCTCTCGAAATCTCGATCAATTTAGCAGACTATTCACTCAACGAACACGTTCGGAACATGTAAACGCGCGATTAAATTCGTTTACGCATCACGTATAATACATAGATGATCCGTTTTACGTGATATTTTTTGTAAGGCGGGCGGTGAAATTTTATGGTGGTCTACAGTTAGATACATCTTCACGTTCCCCGAAGTTTCGCCTCGTTCGAAAGGCTCGACGGAATGTTCGATCTGAAATGTAAATTAACAGGCGAGAAATATCCCGCGACGGGACATTCCCACTTCTGCGCTAGATCGCAAATATATCGGCGTTAGCGATATATACGTGACCTCCGGAACAGGTTGCGACAGAACCGAACGAAGCAAGGAATTAGGCCTTGCCGCGACTTTTTTTCAATGACGACGAATTTTTGGACTTAATCGTCGATGGTGCGGAACGCGGAGCCATTTATTATTTGCCCGATCTCGTTCTGCTCGCGAGATTACGAGTCAGGATTCACAGTCTAATTTTAATATTTCAAACGCTGTTTTTCAGGCCATATCAAGACGTCGTTACTGGCAGGAAGCAATTTCAACGTCACATGGCATCTCGCCTATCCCCATAGGGTAAGTAAAGCTCTCACGAGTTTTTTGAAATTTTTTTATCGCGCCATATCGATCTATATGTATCAAAGCGAATAAATTAACTGGATATCGGAATCTATTTATTTTATATAGACATATAATATAGATACATGTGTATTTATATAAAAATAAGTGTGTATATCTGAATAATAATAATAATAAATATATGTTTATAATATTAAATGTTTATAACAGATATTTAAAAAATATTTATATATATTCGAATACGCGTACAGTATACGATTTATTACTATAATAATTGTAAAGTAGAGGCATGATGTCAGAGCTGTCGGAACTTTGCAGCAGAACGAAGAAAAGTCTCGCGAGTCTCCGACAGAAAATTAATTAGCGAGAGTAACGGGAATTTCTTGAATACCGAAAATAGACTCAAGGAATTTTACCTCCTTGAATATTTTATGACATCGACATTCTTTTCGCTCTGACGCAACGTAGATCGTGCGCGATGTATTGCCTTATACTTTGCGGTATTGAAATCTCCATTTTAATTTTATGGCACCGACATACGCATACGAAGAATGTCCACTTAATTTTATTTCTGCGACAATATACCGTAGTATTGTCTTTTGGCGTTTTACTCGTCGCGCGCGATAAAACGGAAGAACCCGTTTCCCAAATGACTTATCATGCCTTACGCATCGCTCGGCCCCGTGCTGCGCAAAATGTCTCTCGCTCGCTGATTTCTCGCGGATCTCCCGCGCGAGGGAGAAAGGAAAATAAAACGTAACACGCCCGGTCACCGTTGTCGGCGGCGTTAAATTCGCCGCGGCGTTACACATCCGCACTTCCACGCAGGCTACCGCGACAGGCTGCTTAAAAGTCGTACGATCAGCGGTTACGTGAAGACAGGATAAAATCGCGCGTATACCTACCGTGCGTTTTATTATTTCGCATCGGGACCACTTTCTCCGTAGCGCCGACCACGTCCCGGGCCGCTCCGTGTTTCCCCCGTGCCGATGCGGACGTAAAACGCGTTCGGCATAATGGAGCATTCTTCGTGCGCGCCGCGGGTATTCGCGCGCGGGTAACGCCACATTCTCGGAGATCTCTCTCTCTCTCTCTCTTTCTGTTTCTTTTTTTTATATCTCGTTAATTAACCCTTTTACACAGCGCGCGCGCATTGCATCGTGGATTATAATGACGGCCGTCCGTTTCCAAGGTGCGGGCTTTCTAAAGCAGCTAAAATTAAAGTTCGTGTGCAACACACGAACGGAGCGATTGAAATCTAAATTTAAATCCGGATAAATTGAATTTAAATTATTCATTGATTGCATGTGCGCGTTGCCTCGTCAAACGCACGATTCCTATGATCGAAGTCGAACGAAGGAGAAAGCATTTACTTATGTCTTCGGAGATCTCGGAGAAAGCATTGATCGTGAAGCGTGAGATTAACGTTACGCCGTGTGTTATCAGAACTTTAGGGGACCGTATAAAACGATGGCTCTTGCTCTATTAAAATTAATTCTTGTCGTTCCTCGTCGACTGCAAGAAAGCCATAGAGAGAGAGATAGAGAGAGAGAGAGAGAGATTTTACTTTTACGAGCTTTCGCGGAAAGCATGGCCGGGGAATGAGGCGTTGAGCATTGCCGGGATACCGTATGTTATCAGAGAATTATACGGGATCGTAAACGACGTAACGTTTTCTTTTATTAAAATCTGAAAGAGAGAAGCCTTTACGAGCTCTCGTAAGAAGCGTTATTGCGCTGCGAGGAGAGCTGTGGATATACATTGTCAATATTACATCAGAAACTTTTTGTAGAATCACATGAAAAAAATCTATTTAGTAAACTTGATTTTCATAAACTTTATAGGCCCAACTGAGAGAGAAGCTTCCCCACAAATCTCCGTGCTATCTTTACACAGCTATGAATATAAATCCATCAAATCGGATGGCTTACAAATCATTAAAACCGTCGCCGGTTAAGAGGCAATAATTTATTTTCGTGTTTCTAACGAGCGCGTCACCCGTTCTCGCAGCTCGAAACGGTGAGAAACTTTTATTATGCCTTTCTTTTTGCACGCCCGACGCTTTCTGGCCGCGGTAAAAGCGCGCGCGGGTACTGTCGAATAATAATAATAATAACAACAACATCAGCAACAGCCTCCGCATTGTTCATTAACTGCACCGTCAGGCAAACGGGGGAAACGAGCTCGACGATAATCGCCGCCATGGTCGTTCGTATTCAACGTAACGAGCACTCGGGACACTCGACGACGCCGTTCGCGCGCGGTTCGCAGGACATTACGAATTTGTCCGTACACGTGGGTTCTGCGAAAAGGAGAGAAGGCACCGTGATGGCAACGACGACGTGTCGAGTGCCGAAGAGGCTCTCTTCTCTCTCTCTACCTACGCGCGCTCGTCGCTCAAGGTGACGCGCGCTGAATTATTCACGAGCGTGGTCTCCTCGTAGGCATGTAGATCTACGAGTAGGACGAATAGAGGCGGTATAGGGAGGCAGGCAAGGTAGGCAGGCAAGCAAACAGACGAGAGCGAGCCAGCTTCGCGCACCGTATAGACGCGGTGTGCCTGGAGCGCCTCTCCGAGGTAGAAACAGATCGGTATGCCGGGTACCGTAACTCGGACGTCGCTCGATGACGATCGCTCGAGCACGAAGGCGTCGTCCCCTGCTCACAAGCCTTCGGCTAAACGTGCAAAACCCGCGATTCTCCTGTCCGGCGAAACGGAGCGAACGGGGCGCGCGGCTCCGTGTACGCAACGGCTCGTTCTCGAAACGATTTTCGTCCTTGCGCCGCGATTGTCGGGCGATATTTACATTTTCCCGTTGCGCCTCTCGGATAAATGTAAAAGTAAAGAGTCGAGTTATCGTATCCCCCTCTAACAAATATTACATTATCCAGGTCGTATTAAACATCAGAACAGATACACGTGATAGAGGAACAATAGACAATGTGTGCGTAAACCTTAAAAAACCGTGGGAGAGATTTTATGCTAATTCTACAGACATTTGATGGTAAATATATTTTTAAAAAAGGATAAAATTTATATTAATAAAGAAAATCGATTCTCTGTATGTTAAGCAAGGAATTTAACTGTAATTTTGAAAATGTAGCAAACAAAATTTAAAATTCACATTTTTCTTCTCGCCTTTTTTTTACCTTTCTTTTTCTTTTATCAAGAGCCTAGATTTGTGAAAGTATATATTAATGCTCGCCGCAGTTAAAAAATCAATACTCGTCGCGGAGAAAGAGTCGTCGCTTCTCTAATTTTGCAAGATCTTTCTTGCAGTCGTCCGCAGGAAAATCTCGCGGGACTGCAGAGAGAGATGGAAGGTACACCCGCAATGAACATCCGCGCGGATTACGTTACGACAGGGACAGGTTGAAATCCTGGCCGCCGCCGGCGGTCCGCCGGCACTCCTCCCTCTCCGCCGCGCCGCGAAAATATCCGCGGCACGAGAAAAATTCGACAATAACAACCGTGCCTACTGAGAGTGCAGGTGTGTTCGCCGTGCGAAGCGGTACCACGTAGCCGCGGCTCTTCGTCGCTTCCCTTTCTCCTTCACGGCGGTCGAAAGGGGGGAAAACATCGCCGTTTCGCGACGACGACGGCCACCGGTTTTCGTTCACCGCGCGTCTTTTGCATCCAGTGCGAACTGCATTCGCGTCCGTCGCATCGTATAGGTGTCGCACGATATTCAGAAAACAGTCGTCAAATTCAGCGGCACGCAAACCTGCAAATTTTAATCCGTGTGAAATAAAGACCATAAAATTACAAATCTGAATTCAAATATTCGAAAATAGAAATAAGTGAATTTCGCTCGGATAAAATACAATGAATGAATTACGTTAAAAGGAAAGTTTTTAATTGAAAAACAATTGATCATGCTACTTTACAGTCAAAAATACTGCAGCCATTTAAATTCACATATAAAAGCAGGAACAATTTTAAATTATAATTTTTAACCCGTATGATTAATCGTTCGTAATTTAAAAATCATTTGTTAAACAGATGAACTTGTATTTTTATCTAATTCCTAAAATTAATAAGTTTAAGATAAGTTTCTTTTTAAATTTCTTCGAATGCTAAGTAACTCAAAATACACGCGTAGAGGCTAGGATAATGAGAACAATGTCGAGGCTACGAATTATCATAGGTTTATAACCACGACGGCCACACTCGGCGATTGTCGATTCCGAAAGAGGAATTACACGTTGCACACCTCGATTAAGTTACAATAGCATCCGCGGCTGTTAATCGCGTCGCGATAATCCTTACGTACGTTGCCGCTTCCTACGGACAACGGGACGGATACGGATGTTACTCAATATAGCGTTTTATATGAACTTGCATCGACCTGCATACGGCCTGCACACCACGCACTCGCCTAACGGTGCTCGGAACGCGACGATAAAGAATCTCACGGTGTCGCAATCGGTGGCGCATATCAATCGGTCGACCGACCCGCTCATTAGGCTCGCTGTCGTTATGCCTCCCGTCATTACTCCCGCGAACGCTCCGCGGGGGAGGAGGGGGGGGGGGGGGAGAACTCGCGGCCTCGCGCCCTCCGCGAGTCGCGCGCGCGCGCTCGCTCGCTCGCTCTCGATTCGGGACACGTTTCATAAACCGCCAGGTGGGTGTCGCAAGCGCGTGATTGCGAGGCGCGTTCGCGGGTAAACGTTAACAGAAATAACGTGACCGAGAAGCGCTCGCGCCATACGACACGCTCGTAATGTGATTCCGTTTATCGCTAATCATTGACACTCTGGCGTCGTCATTTTGGTGCGGATATTTTTGTCAAAATTCGTTACTCACATAATTCTCAATTCGTAGTTATTTAGACACGACTGAAGGCCGAAGGCTCGAGAAAATAAATTGGGCGTCCTGAATTACAATTAGAATTCGTAAAAAATATTAAATCGCTTGAGTGAGATAGAATGACTAAAATAGAATCGTAAAAAACAATAACGTAATTGATTAACATATATTAATACAGTTGCTAACATGTCAATGAAAAATTGTGAAATAATGACGTTAGTTGTGCCAGTAAACTCGAAGCGGAGAAATTCTAATCCGTTATTGTTGATTTATTGAGGATAGCGTGGCCAATTGACGGTGACGGAACGAATCATCTGCAATGTTTCTTGCGACTCGACAAGTTATGAGGGGAAAAAAATCGAGAAATCGAACGACCGGAATCTGCTTGCATCGATTTTGTCTATTGGCTGGTATCGGAGCCACTCTACCGCGCGTTGTCTCGTTCTGATGATGTGTCATTTATTGCGGAACTCGGCGGAAAAAAGCCATAAATTTAACGGAATGGCATGAATGGGCAAAACAGAAATGGATGGATGGACGGACATTCAGTTCACGACTCGCGAAGCACATTCTTCATTTCCTAGATACGTGACAGGCGCACGGATCTATTCCGTACGAAAATATAATCTGTACTTCTGTTGAACCTTGCGTCTTTAATGTTGAGTAACGCGACACAATTATATAACTGTAGATTCAAAATTTTAGCGGAGGAAAGATGAAATGAGTGTGCAAAGAGATATTAACATTATTAATAAACAATAAAATATATTAATATTATAATTTAAGAACAGGTAGAACGATTAAATATATTTTTTTGTAAATAAATATTTTCCCTCTACATTTTACGTGATTTTTCAGGGAGGATTTCGCCTTCAGATCTTAGACTTTTACGACAGGCCTCTGATGGACCTGACGCCCATCACGCAAAGCAGCGAGTTTGTCGAGAACGACGCCACGTAAGTGCGCGACGACGACGCGTCCTCCTCTTCGATCCTGATAACCCTGATTGAGTCTGACGTTTCCGATTTTCCAGGGCGCAAAGCTATGCCGTGCAGCTGCCGCAAAATTTCACCTGCACGGACTGCACCATCAGGCTGCTGCGGGAGGCCGAGGAATGGGGCTCGAGCTATAGATTTTGGTCTTGCGCCGACATCGACGTGAGTTTCTCGTGATTTCTCTTGGAAAATGTAGCTTCTAATCCGATTAAACGCGGCAGAGCAAAAAAATTTAATTAACGACGGAAAGAATATCGAGAAAATGAAGTAGCATGTTACATCGGCAATGTAAACACTTCGCTCGCTATTAAGGGGTTCTATCCCTGAGGCCTTAAAATGATACCTAAGTTTGGGATTTTTTGTGGGTAAATAGATAACTTTATTTAAAAGCTGTTTAGAGGACATTATAGTACATATATAAGAAACTAAAAAATTATTTTTTTATTTTTTTTGTACTCTCTAAATTTTTTGGAGTGAAATTTCACTCTAAAGAGTGAAAATACTGCTACTCAAGTGGCCGAGTGACAGTATTTTCACTCTTTTGGAGTGAGATTCACTCTAGAAAATTTAGAGAGTACAAAATGGCGGCGCAATGGCCATCAGATATCATTTTAAAACCTCGAAGGTGGGTTAATCCCTTAAACGAAACAATGAAAAAGACTATAGTTTAAGAAAAAAATGTTGCATAACAAGAAACGAACATATAAAATCGTCAAAAAATTTATCAATGTATTTGCGTATTGTGATAAATTTTCTTAGATTAATAATATAATTATTAATAATATAATTATTATAATTATATTATTATTATATTATTGTTATCATTGTATTATAATCTACAATCGTGTCATATCGCTGTAATGAATTTTTTAAGCTTTCTTTCGATGTCTCACAATTCACAGGAAACGTCCTGTGGCGATTGTTTTCGTAGATAAAATTAACGACGTTAATTTTCATCACCGTTTGTGAGATTCCCTTTCTTTCCTCCCCCCTCCTCCGGTTTCCATCCTTGAGTGATCTGTAATCTCTCTGCCGACAGATCCGCGATAGGAAAGACTACCGGGAGGACTGTAGCGGTCACGGACGTTACCTGCTAGGCAGGTGCAGGTGCGACCGTCTTTACCACGGCACGAGGTGCGAATTTAAGGAGGAGTGCCTGGAAGACTCGGACTGCGGTATTCAGGGCACGTGCATCGACAATGGTGGCACGACCGCGCCTACCAAGCAATGCTACTGCAACGCCGGCTGGTTCGGGCCGGGTTGCGCGAAGAGTAAGTTTCCCTTCAAGAATTTCTTGCGTGCCATCGGGCCGCTTCTGGGACACTTTACTGCGTTTCGCCGACCTCTCGATATCGACATCCGTGATTGGAGAAAAAAATAAATATTCCGGAGCTTTGATCCCCCGAATGCCAAAGTATTGAAAATAAGATATAATTTATAGCGCTTTTCATATTTTTTACTTTTTATCTTTTATTACGTAAAATTCTTTTAGACGGTTCTTAAAAATACGTCAAATGTATTATACTATAACACTATTCTGATTCTTGTTATTAGCGATTTACAATTAAATATATTTCAATACAACTTTTTAAATATTTTTTGGATTATATGTTAATAGCGTTGAACAAATTAATTTTTTCAACAGTAACTGTACTGAAATTGTAAAATTCACATAATAATATTATTATTGAGTATTAAAATCCACTTTAGATTGCATTTGACGTTTCTAAATAACTTCATCTTGTTTTAATTTTTCAGTTGCTAATATATTTAAAATTTTCTTTTTAATTTGCATAAAATTTGACTTTGCATAAAATTAAACTTCTGATTCACTTGCATTTCAGATATAGCTAATAACATAATAAAAATTAGTAAATTTGCCATTACTATTATGTTTTTTAATGTCCATTAAAAAATTTATTCTATATATTTACATTATTGAGATTCAACCGTCGATTTTATCCGCAACTATAAATTCCCGATCACATTACGTCAGCTGAAGCCTGACGATCCATTAGCTTTTTTAATGGCTGTTTAAAAACAGAAGCGATTTAATAGCTGCTAGTGCGAACGAGCATCTATCAAACGAAAAAAAAAAGAGATTGAGAAAGCCTCAGGCCCGGCCGTAGCGAGCGTTGTTGTCTTAACGAGTTTACGGTGAAACCGTCCGTAACAATCATTCTTGCTGCATCGATGATTCCACTTTCAGAATCACCGGTGAAGAGCATCGATGTAAATTTGGACGCGTATACGATGAAACGATTCTCCGACGACATTATATTCTACTGGCGAATTCTGAAGGAGAGCAAGGAGCTGGAGGGCATTCTCGTGGCCAACTCCACGACGTGGATCGGTATCGGATGGAGGCCGAGCGATCTCGGTCCGTCTTGCCGATCCTTCCCCATGATCAAGGATATACCCGAACCACTTCCGCAGCCGGAGCCGAAATCGGAATCGATCAACAAATCGACGCCCAAACCGGAACCGGAGCCCGAGCCCGAGCCCGAGCCGGAGCCCGGCGCGGAAGGCGAGAAATCGATAGCGAAGAGACGATCGGCTTTCGGCGTCTACGGCGTAACATCGCGACCGGATGTCGATGTTACCGTGCAGACCAGCGTGACCTATCAAGTTAGCACGAAGCAAGGTAGGATCTATTTATCGTCTTATATCACGTCATTATTTCCCGGAAAGAAAGTATTTGCCGATATTGCAAAATGTTTATGTGTCGCGGAGTATCTCAGGAAGTTGCAGTATAGACGCAGCGGTATATACAATTAACTGTCTTCGCTGTGTTTCTTGAAATTCATATCGCTTCTTGCGCGCATGCGATATTCATGTATTTATAAGTGGACGTCTACGTGTTCCTGTAGGAAGAAAAAACCTGTTTGTGTGGCGACATGTGCGTGATATGCATTCGTACGAGTGTTCTTACTCCGTTTTTTCCTCTACTACGCCGCGCACAGGGTACACAGTCATTAACACGCTATCGCTGTTAGTTAATGTAATTCCAACTTGTTAGACGTGATTCGCGCAAAGTTCAAGGAGTGCGTAATTATACGAACGACAGCCGTATTGCATTATTAAAAAATTACAATGCAGTCAGAAGTAATCCGCGTTCGAATAATACGCTTTACGCAACAAGCGAAGGACACGCACGATCGAATGTCAAAATTTCACGCGTGTAATTTTTTTCCGAACGATGAATCTTATAAGGATGTTATTTAAAAATAGAATCTTTTTGCATTAAATATAACAAGATGTTAACTGCAGTTATCGCAAAAAGTTGACAATTATTTTCTCGATCTCAAGAGAATAAAAAATAATAATTTTTGTGATGTAACTTTTGCATTGTCTTTTACGGAAGGTTCTTAATTAATTTGTTTACATAGGCCGCAAGAGGAGATCTCCAAAATCATCCACGGCCTCTGCGCTTGGTATGTATTATGTATTTATGTCCAGAACAGCCCCGATGAGTCGTTTCGCTTGCTCAAGAATTTAATAGCAATATGTAGATTTACCCGAAAAATCCCAGTAGACTTTGTATAACAATAGCCTCCTTTCGAGACACGACGCACGAGGTGATGGCCCCAATAAGTAGGTAGTTCGCACGACGTACGATGCTTTGTTGCACAGGGAAACAGGTCGGTGAGTCGAGCGCCGTCGCCGAGCCGGAACCTACCTCTGAGCCAGAACCAAAATCCGAGCCTGAACCCAGCTCCGAGCCAGAGCCGAAATCCGAGCCTGAACCCAGCTCTGAGCCAGAACCAAAATCCGAGCCTGAACCCAGCTCCGAGCCGGAACCGAAATCCGAGCCTGAACCCAGCTCTGAGCCGGAACCGAAATCCGAGCCTGAACCCAGCTCTGAACCGGTACCAAAATCCGAGCCTGAACCCAGCTCTGAGCCGGAGCCTAAATCCGAGCCTGAACCCAGCTCCGAGCCGGAGCCAAAATCCGAACCAGAACCCAGCTCCGAGCCAGAGCCGAAATCTGAACCAGAACCCATCTCTGAGCCAGAGCCGAAATCTGAGCCGGAGCCGAAGTCCGAACCGGAACCAAATTCCGAGCCTGAGCCAAAATCCGAGCCGGAACCTAGTTCTGAGCCAGAACCAAAATCCGAACCGGAGCCTAATTCCGAGCCGGAACCAAAGTCTGAACCGGAACCCAAATCTGAACCAGAACCCAACTCGCAACCGGAGCCAAGTGCGGGCCCGAGATCGGGAGCGACGAAAGGTAACGAGGACCGATTTAACGCTTGTTTCCGCACATATCGCCATGCTACTATCATATCATTAACTCCTGAGCTACCAGAGATTTTTCGCTTTCTAACTTTTAGTTTTTTAATTTTAGTTTTTTGACATTGCAATGAAAGAGAAGTTTTGCAACAATTCTCCGACACGTATTAATATGAGCACATTACGTTAATAAAAACAAGTTCAATGATAAAATATATAAAATCTCTCGTAGTTGTACAACATCTCTACGATAATCAGTAGTGTGTACATCGCTCATTACTTTCGATATTCGCGACTTTCACGATAACCGTGTGGCCGCCGGTAAAAGTTTGCACGACTGGAACGCGAGGACCGCAGCGGCAAATATTTGCCGTGAAAGCGTACCTATTTAGCGTGGTGATAAGACGCGAGAAATAATCTATTCCATCCGCGCTGCTTCCACCGGATGTCGGCGCTGATTGTAAAATGTTAAAATGCAACCACTCTGACTCCGCGTAAATTCCTGTTGATTTAACTTCGCCAATTGCGTCTTTGCACGCAGCAGCGAAGAGCGAAAAAAAAACTGTATATGCAGAGAGATAATGTCGATAACGCTTAACGCTTCACGTCCCCCCCCCCCCGTCGCTACACGCCACACTCACCACGAGAATTTTTATATTTTCCCCTGTAAATACCGATAACTTCCGAATTGTAGCATGCATTACTACGACACGAAATTTGCACGTGTCTCGATCTCTATACCCGTCACGACTTCACGATATCGTAGGACACCATTTGAATCCCCCGCATAACATCGACTCATCTCACCCGAACGAATAATCGATCCTATGTTGGGGCTGAAATGCACTCAACGGGAGAGTAGCTTTTTAAAAGAAAATTTAAAGTATGTACAAAAAGATATTTCAATTAAGGGGAAGGCTGTATAAACAACGAAAATACAACTTAAAATTTTCAAACGATTTAAAAAAGATACCAAATGTAAGAATCTTAATTTCTCCTTGTGCAAAGAGACGAGTCATGAATTACAAAAAAAAATTTGAGTACACGAAAAGAACAATTTTGCTGGATCCGGATGAGAAAATAATTTTTGTTCGATAGTCAAAATAATTTTGTTGGAAAGTCAAAATAATTGTTAGAATATCAAAACGTTTTAAAGTAATGCCTATCATTTTTAACTTTCCAACAAATTATTTTGATTATTGAACAGAAATTATTTTCAGATCTGTATTCAGCAAAGTTTTTAGACTTTTCAACAAAATCGTTCTTTCCATGTAATAATAGATATACATACCACAGACGCATTTCAGTTCACCGTTCAATTTCATATCATAGGCATTCTACATGATAATTCTATTCGGCGAATTTTCGCAATGTCGCGACTCTTTGTGTTAACTGAATTTCTTCGCGCACACGCAAGCATCGTTGCCGACGCCGGGGCACAAGTACACGCCCAAGCACGACTTCAACCCCATGGACTGCACGGACATTATAATCGGCACGGCGCGAGGGACGAGTTACAGGATCGGCGATTATTACACGAGGGACAGGTCGACGCCGCGCAGGGACGCGTACTGGGACGGGAGGGACAGCCTGACGGCCGCGTTCGGCTACGAACGCGACGGCGTCACGACGATGCTCTTCCGCAGGAAGCTGGCCGCGAGCGAGCCGACCGATCACGAGATCCGCGACGGTAATATGCAGGTGATTTGGGCGAAAGGTCAAGAGCCGGGCAGATACGTACACCAGCCGGCTAGCGGGATCGAAAAGGCCAAGGTCGGCGTCAAAGACTTCTACAAGGTCGACGAGCTCAAATATCACGGGCACAAAATGCAGAGAGGCGCGGTCACCATGAATTTCTTCGGTGAGGTCATCCGTTCAGCCTCCGCCGCGTTTATCCCCGATGTTATTGATGCCCGCGTGTGTCTGTTATAGCGCGTGGCGCTTTAAAATCGTAGATCGTATAATAAACGTCGATTCAATATATCCTGCCAATTTTTTGCTTTTAAATATATTTGTTCATTTTTTTCTGGATTGTTATTAATAATTTTTCTTATACAGAAGATATATTCTATTTTTTTTTAAACAATTGCTTACCTTATGACGCGGCCATTAAATATTTCAATATTTGCAAAATTTAATAATATTTCGGACGTTTCAGATGAAACTAAGAAGCCGGAATTTGCCGGCGGTGTAGCGTCGCAAGACGGTATCTGCGGTGGTCAGTGGCGTTATCCGAGAAATTGCTCGCCGGAAAACGGCACTTGCGAATACGCCATACAATGGACGTACAAGGGTAAAAAGGTAATGTGTCTCATATTTCCTCGGCGTTCTCCCTTTTGTGTGAACGTAGACAAAGCCACTCTAACGAAACCGATATCATGAGAAATGCTTTTCTCTCCGCAGGATCTGATAACGTTCGTAATCTCCACGACGAATACCAATATGTGGACCGGAGTTGGATTTTCTGACGACAATAGCATGGTAAGAATTTGTCAAATAAAGAGACAAAAACTTTGTCCTTTTTCTTGGTAACTCGCCTTGATGTTCCTTCAACTGACTAAATCTAACATTTCATGTAGTCGAGAAAAAGAGCCATATCACTTAAATGGACCGTTTCAGCAAACCGTTTTTTCTTGAAAAGAAACGAGTCGCGTAAAGAACAAAGTCGGAGTTTATAAAATTGTCAGATAATACTGTCTTTTTTTCCTCTATTCAGTCGCAGACCGATGCCGTGCTCGGCTGGGTCGATAAAACAAACGGTCGAGCTTTCGTGATGGATACCTGGATCAGCGGCTACAACGCGCCGTTGCTGGATCTGTCGCAGGACGTCTACAACATCAGCGGCCGCATCGAGAACGGCGTAACCACCCTCCGGTTCTCGCGAAAACGCGTGACGAAGGACAGCAAGGATCTCTCGTTTACGGACGATCACTGCCTGTATATGATGTTCCCGGTGAAGGGAGGCGTATTCAATCCGATCAATAAGAAGATCCGAAAGCACGACGCGAAACCGGTCGTTTCCACAGACAGAATATGCATCAAGTCCTGCGGCCTGGAAGGTAAATGTCGATTACTTGCATTTTTGTCGCTCGTTAAAGTTGTTCGATGCAATGCAACTATCGACACGCGCAACATAACTTTTTAAACATCATTAATCGTTTGAATCATTTAATATATCCCTGCTTAATTAGTGTCATTTTTCATGAAGTTGTTCAATGTAATGCAACTATCGACACGCGATGTAATTTTTTAAAAGACATTAATTTGAATCATTTAATATATTCTTGTTTAATTATTGTGTTACTGTTCTCATCCAATTATTATTAGAATGATTGCAATTGCCACTTAATTAATTAGTCTTTTTTCGTTAAAACGATTTCGTTAAAGTATCATTTCTTGTGAACGTTAATGTGTGATGTGATAAATGCTGATTTATTGTGTTTCAAAGTGTATTTCCGATCACTGTTAAGAATATCATTCAATTGCTCACTTAGAAATCGAAGACCAAACCACGCCCGCCCCGCCTAGATTGCATTACGATATTGAAGTTAAGCTCGTTAACTTGGGTGATGGATTTATGGCTCCCACACCTGACAGCCCCGACTTCGAAGTGATCTCGAACAGGATATCGGAGAGCTTCGGACCGGTCTTCGAGAAACTTCCGGGCTACTATCAAGTCCGACTCGACGAGTTACGAAAGTAAGACAGCAAAATGGAAGAAATAACATAAAATAGCAACGGCAAGTGTTAGATAAGGTACTATTTATTCCCGTTCGTTCTCGTTACAGAGATAACGAGCAGGGAGTGATCGCGCGCATGAACCTGATCGTCGACAAGAACGAGGCCAAGGGTAGGTCGTTGAAACCCGCGGACACCGGCTTAGAAGCGGAAAAAGCGTTGCGCGAGGCACTCGTGACTGGCAAGGTCGGTGCACTCAGCGTCGATCCGCAGTACTTAATAGTGAGAGCACCCCGAGGTGAGAGCTGAATTCCTCAATTCCTATTATATATTGATATAACATAAAATTCTTTTTCCCCGCGATAAATTTTCCATCGTAGATTGAGATCCGGATTAAGTGATTTCTCATCTATTCTCGATAGCGTATGTAACGGTAATCGTCTTAAAATTTATTCTCGTTATTATCACAGCAACTATTAACTAAATAACTGTAATCGTCTGAAAAAAAGCTATATGATTCAATTATATAGCTTTAAGTAGCGCGTCATTTTTTTTTTAAACGAGAAATTTATCGTTCATGCCAGCAGGCGTGAAGAAATGAAGACTCGCGTTCAGATTATTCAAGATACTTATCGTCTCCGTTAATCGCTACGAGTTTTACGACGTGTACTTATTTTCAGTAAACGACATAGAGACGGAAGATGAGAACGATCGACCGCCTTCCGCGACGGACTTGTTCCTGGGCGCGACGAAGTTTTATATCGTCGTCGGTTGCGTGGCAGCATTGCTGGCCCTCGCACTGCTCCAGGCCAGTTGCACTCTCTACAGGAGCTCGAAGAGACGAGCGACCAAGGTATGTTCTGTGTGCAGCGTTAGGAATTTCTTGTATTTTCTTCTACACGTATTTTTTTTTCTCTCCACTTTTTCTCGCATCCCCAGGTCTTCCTCTTGAGTGTTGTGTTCTGGTCTTTCTCTAACGAACTTGTGGTGATCCCTAACGTGTTCCAAGAAAGATGTATAACGCTCTATCGGAGTTTTTATTCTCGAGGAAAATAAGTCATTAAGCATCGCATTTTCGATCGCACTTATCGTAGTAACTATTAACTAAATAACTGTAATATCATAACAAATCTAATGAGTATATAGAATAACTCGATGCTAAAAAAAAAAAATTCCGATTGAATCGTAAAGTTGTGATTGAAGACGCCCGGTTTCTCTTTTCTTCTGTCTAACGGAAACGGCCTGGTAGATCAGATTGCCGTTTTCGCGTACGTCTTCTTGGGACACTCTGTAGCGTAAAAACTACGCTTTCTCCATCCCCTAATGAACCCGACATCTTTTGCTTCGCTTGTGTTGCATGACTCGCGCTTCCCGCGACCAATAAAGAGGGTGTACTCGCTGCCTCTGGCTTCCTCCGACGCGCCCAACCCGATTCATCGTACGAACGCGACGCGGTACCATCGACAGCAAAACGGCGATCATCATCATCATCATCACAACAACAACAACACCAACCACCATCATCATCATCATCACCACCATCAGCTTCGGCATCACTACGCCCCGTCTGAAATGCATCGGGCTAATCCCAGCTGGTAGAGCTTCTTCGTCGAGTACAAATCGGTGCGCAATGTCACACTCGTCCCCAATGTTTCTTTCGCTCTAACCCAGGTATCTCGACTAACTCGCTCTTCCTCATCTCTGTAACCGCACGTTTTTTCTGCGCCTTTACGACCTCGCTACCAAGCTTTTTGATTTTTTCCTCACTAATACAGGGTGATTAAATTAACTTGTGCGTTTCTATTTTTCGTAAATATACGTATCGACGGATCATAGTGAACAAATCTTTCTTTCTTACGTTATCAATTGGCAAACAAACATGTGTGAAATACATAAGATAATTTCTGATTAAGAAATACAGGCATAATTAAAAAAATTTGTGGAAAAGAAATAAAATTTTGTAAAATTATCTACATTCTTCGCACTCTAAACACATAATAATCTTTTTCGTTCAGGAACGTTTGATCGCCAGTAATGCCTGGAAGGACTACGCTTCCGGCGCGAACACGAACTTCGCATTCGAGGCGTTCGAAACGGAGGAGAAGGCGCCGCCGCCGCCGATTTCCAGTCTGCCGAGAGCCAGGGAGATGACCGGCAACGGCATGACCAGCATGAATGGTACCGACGCGGTCGAGGGGCCCAACAGGATGGTCGGACCCAGGGCGACCTACAGTCTTCCACGCGCCCCCGGTGCCAGACACTCGGCGCCCATCCAGCACGGTTATTACACGCAAGACCGCAGGGACCATTACGGGCGGCCCAAGAGCATGCACAATCCGGGTGCGGCAGCCCAGGCGAATCAACCGGACTTCTACTTCATGCCCAGCCAACGAAAGTACAGCGGCGAGGTCGTGCGCGTTTACGTGGATTACGGCAACCAGATGCCGAAGTAAAAACAAGGGAAGGAAGTTCAGGTCAAATCGCGAGAACGATTTACCCGCTTCACCCGAAGCGATCTGTATATATCCGAGTTGTAGTGACAGAGGACGCGGAGAAAGGACTACGCAGCCCCTGTGCGGTGCTACTTTTTTTTCTATCTCTGTTTCTTCTTTTCCCGTGACTTCCCTTTCCCGAAGGCCCACCCGAATCGAGTCGCTGGGTTTGAGGTGTGTACGAGGAGGGAGGTTGCCCCCCCCCTCCCCCGTACAGAAGCATAGAAGTGGCGCTTACGACCAAAGAAGATATCCATGGGGCGCGCGCCCTACAATTTTGTTATAGAGCGCATGAACTCTCGTCGAACTTTTGTGCTTTTGCGGTGGAGAAACTGTATAATTATATATATAAGTAAGTCTCATGTAGTAGTCGAGAATCTGACAGTCCGAGGGATCCCTGGGTCCAAAAAAATACGAATCTTACGATCTAGCAGTATGTACTCGAAGATTCAAGAAAGACCCAGGGGCCATATAGCTTAATATCAAGAAAAATAAGACTCGAAAGACCCACGGATCCGAGAATAACAGGATTCGAACGATCCTGAAATTCGAGAATTCGAAGACCTGTAAAAAAAAAAAAATTAAACATGTACCTAAGTTTATCTCGCTCGACGAATACGCGTCGCGTTTGTATCGCGCGACAGAATACTGACACGCTCAGTTATGTTATCTACATCATCTACTCTAAAGAGCAAGCGTGGACGCGCGTTTGAGCAATAAAAACATTTGTACATTTTCAAACGAAAGCTGACCCGTCCTGTGTTTCTTTAATGAATTAACCTTCATCTTTAAAGCGATACCTCCATGTTTCACTTATATGTGTATACTGATCTATTAGTATCCGGAGAATATTAGAAGATGCAGCAGCAGCAGCAGCGCAGTCGTATGAATAAACGATATGAATAAACGAGCAAAATGCCTGCGAAGCGATTGCTAATAGTCGTTATGGATAAAAATTGTAATGCCTGTTGACAATGACGACACTGTCGATATAGAGAATCGTTGTTGGTACGGATTATAAATTATTACAATAGAGTGATAAAATTAACGATATAATACTTGTAATAATCATAATAACGATAGATGTAGCAGCAGTAGTAACGATGGCAATAATATTACAGTATCAATTACATTAATGTCATTAACAACGGCGTCGCGTGCAGCCAGACTTCCGGGATATCTTCACGAGCGATGGAATATAAGGCGACGCCAAAAACAAGCGCTCTCTCTTTCTTCCTCTCTCGCTTTCTTTCGTTCTGTCTCTCTCTCTCTTTCAATCTCTCTTTCTCTCTCTTGCGATCTCTAAAAGTACGCGAGCATATATCCGGAAGTCAATTGTGGCACGCACTGCCCGCGTTCCTATTATTACATAACTAGCATCGAGCGCATATGTTCGGCTCTACCTTAAAGTTTTTTTTTTCCTTTCTTCGGTCACACGTGCGAAGTTTGAGAAACAAGTTTCTACGCGAATCTAATATGTGGCGTGTCAACGAACGCGAATATGCAAAAACGCGGCGCGCGGGATAATAGAGCGATGTGTGTGTGTATGACGAGTAAACGCGCGATCGAACTGTGGTGTGCTCGTCGTGAGTTGCACCTCGAAGCGATTTCGTAAGAAATTTATACGTATTCGCGCTCGGCGGGCACGCCATTTTTATATCTCTGCTTTTTTTTCGATCTATCGGTCTGTTTATCTGTTAGCTTGTCACTCATACATGCATTATTTTTCTTTCTCTCTTTCTTGCTCCTTTCTCTTTCTCGCATACACAAACACACGCAAACACACACACACATACCTTCCATTCCCTGGCACGCACTCGTGTCATCATCGGCACTTGTACATAACTCAACACATTTCTCTCCCCATCGGTCGAAGCGGTGTAGTTAAAGAATACGAACAGGCGAACATCTGATAAACGGAGTGAACACCGTAATAAGGCTTAATTTAATTTGTTAGTAACTTGTGTGATCCTGCTCTGTACGCGTCTGCTGCACAAGCCTGTTTTCACACAGGTGCGCACTATGAATGGCCCACTCAAGCCCGCTGCTGTCCATTTTGCAGTGTTTATCCCACGATTGTAACATCTCTCTTTCTTTCTTTCTTTCTTTCTCTCTCTCTCTCTCTCTCTCTCTCTCACACACATTCAAAAGCCGTGTTCCGTTGTCTTTACAGGTTTCCATTGCAGCACTCTATATACGACGACCCGTTCTCCCACTTCTATCGTATCGTTCTAATTCATTTACTTGCTGTTTCACTTCCTCTGTCTGACGTCGGATTCCTTATTGGGTGTCGGTTTACTATAAAGTCAATGAAAACAAAATATTAGCCAAAGTAGTAGCTACGCACGAGAGTCTACAAAGCGTTTCTACTATAATTTCTAATATAATTTACATTTTATAAATCGTATTTTATAAATATACTACAAATAAAAGAATAAGTTTATATATTATTATAAAAGAGTGGAATAGGATTGAAATGGAGTAAGGAAAATAATCCTCATCTGCGTTTCTCTTTTCACAAACAATCGAGATAAATAATTTAGCCAAGCTGGAGTCGACTTTAGAGTATGGTGTTTCCGAAACTTATCCGAGGTAGGCTCGAAGCGGACACGCTTGATGGATCGGAACTGTGGTGTTGGAGGTAAATCGGAGGGGAGGGGTCCATGTAGCGGAACATACCACTCCGGGGGTTCAGTGATAGGATCAGGTTCCAAGAGAAGACTGCGTCGAACAGAATCGATACAAATCGATGCAAAATCATAATACTTTAAATTTTATAAAATAATAGGAGAATGGATAAAATAAAATAGAACTATCTTCTCCCGTAAAGGGAAGAGAAATCATTCCAAAACACACTTACGTATCAGGGCTTTGATCGGTATCGGATTCCTCGAGTTCGGCTTTGTTCCGCTTCTTCTCATAAACTAGAATGATGGCGCATAGAATAACAACCTCCGCACAAATGCCTAAGAAGGGCCAGAGTGCGGCAAGCTTGTCCTTCACCCTGAGAAGTGTCTTGGCCTCCGATGAATGTTCCAGTACGGTATCAGACCAGTTGTATGACATTCTGCAGATAACGTTACCGCGATCCTCCATCTCGATATCTTCGACAGTCAGGACGGCGCCGTAAATACCCTTCTCCTTGTCCTTGGAAATCTTCACGCGACCATTGCTGCGCGTATAATTCTTATCCCCGAAGGTCCAGCTTATCTTCACGTTGTGGTTCTGCTTAGTGTTGCACACCAAGTGTAGCTTCTCGCCCTCCACTACACTGGTAGATTCAGCCAGATATGCCGTTGGCCTCGCTGAAATTTTAAAGCATCGAACGTGAGACAAAGATCCCTTTTTACATAATATCTTTAAAAAAAAAAAATGGTTTTCTCTTTTCTTAAAGTAGATATCTTAGTAGTGACTAAATTCATACAGTATTTCCCGCGTCGTTTGCTTCTAACAATCTTTTTCATAAATCTAAAAACATTGCGTCGAAGTACTCACGTAAGACTCTGTAGTCGATCGTGTAGTTAGCCTGTTTGGTAATAACTGTACAAGAGTAGTTTCCATGAGCTTCCTCCTTATCCTTTAAAATCTGCAGGCTGCCAGTCTCGTTGTCAATCTTGATGATATCTTCGTTGCCAGCGAATGCCGATAATTCTTTCTTCTCCTTATTCCATTTCACTTTATCGCTGGTACTTCTGTTTGCGCATTCGAGCACCAAAGGTAGATCTTTGGTAAGTACTCTAATCTTAATATCTGCGTCAAACAAGAAAACGTTATTTGTCAGTTGTACGTTTATAACTGTTTTTGCAAATTACGATGTCAGAGGGGAAAAATACTGCGCGAGTATAAAAAGTTTAAAGATAGGAATTAAAATTCTATCTCTATTTTCTGCGTATGTCACAATAAAAGAACTAATTTATAACTTTTTCATAAATTCCTCAGATATTATAATGCATGAGTGACGGCGACAACTACCACTGCAATTGTATTTTTAGAACGTCGTCCTAAATATTCTATAATAATAGCCGAGAAACACGCCAACCAAAGAGACGCGGACATATTCCGCTTTTGTAGAATAAGTTCATTCATCATTTTTAAATGAATCGTCCGTTGTGTTTTTCATTAACTTTTCTAATTTTCAAACGTAAAATACTTATCAGTTTCATATTTCAGTTATCAGAATTGAAATTTCTGTTATCTATAAATACAGTATAACGTAAAACATATCGATCACCTTATATGATTAGAGATATGTGATTATATAATGATAATTAATGAATCCTTCGTGAGAATTTGATGCGCATATAGTTGAATTAAATCGACAAAACGCGCTATTAATTATTCATAAATATACAAGGACAATTTGAATATTATAATAATGAGACATATTATTATAATACATAAATTAGCATAAACCTTTCATTCATGTTCTTATAACTCTTGCATGTAGATGATTATAATGTCACCAGTTTTAATGGAACACGCTCGATAAATAGTGCAATAAATATTAATGAATTCGTGTCGAGAATACACAACGAGAAGGGAAGTGAATAAAATAATAATTGTGCATGCAATAAAGCAATAGCTGGGAGTTTGTTCGAGGCAGAATATCAGTTATCAAATATTATCACATGTTGAAGAAAGATTTCAGATATAGGCCACGTATCTTCGTAGAGGTGTAAATACTTGACTTATTAATTTAACCGATAATCGATATTTAGCTGTTTGTCGGACTCGAGGAATCCGCGACAGATACCCGTGTGCAACAAACGTGATAATAAAACATTATGTCTGTGTGTACGTGTAGGTATAATGACTAGAAGTATACTAATCTTCTTAATGGAAACAGTGATAAACGTGCGTCACATTGTCGCGTACAGGAAAAATGCTGACGTAAATATATGTACGGGGTGTCGCGGGAAAACTCTGTAGTGAAATTCTTTTACCGGCAGATTTCTTATGTGATCAGGATAATTTATCAAAATAACGACACACGTCTCACAACGCTACGAACCGAATTGTATCGAGAGGTGGTGAGGTGTCGGACTGTCGGATATGCATCTGTAATCTCCCTCGTGGCTCTCGAGCGCCTGGCTCGCCGAGAGCTTGCTGCTTTTGCGGTCTTTCTCTGTGTTGACAACCAGCTGACCGCTGGACAACTCAAGTTCCAACGTCTGGCCGTTCCTGGTCCATCTAATGGTATCATCATCCTTCAAATCGTTGCACTCGATGCTCCATGCTTGTCCCTCGTGCACGGCCGTCGACCCCGAGTACTTCTCTTTTATTGAAAAAGAAAAAAACATTTCAATTTGTGTACAAGTTAAAAATAAATATTAATTCTAGCCGTAATAATAAGTCGATTTTATACTGATCAAATCAATTTTCAATTTCCTTTATAAAATTAGAAATCGCAAAGAAAAAACATTGCCAAATTATCCTGAATTAGCCTTACATTGAGAAAGAAAAAAATATTCAAATTTTTGTACAAGTCAGGAAAGTGAGAAGTGAAGTACTGTTACGAGATGTAATTCCAGCCTTAATTTAATTAAATTGATTTAACAATCAAATCAATTTGCAAATTCTTTTTATAAATTGTAAACAATTTAGAAATGGCACGGAAAAGAATCGCCAAATTATTTTAAATTAGTCTTTAACAATTAATACATTGGGCAACGAAATAAAAATATAAATTAATAAATTTAAAGCTTTTTGTAATAAAAATACCAAGTGTAACGTCCTTATAAATAATTATTGCACTAAATGATTACGTCTCTCGCTGTTTATAGCTGAGAGCACTCACCGTTTCGAAGAAAATGCATCACCCGCTATTCACTGCGTGACTATAAAAAAAAAAGTTATAGTCACGCAGAATGAATTGATATTCGTGTAAACGGTTAACCTTGGAATACGACGACCCTCGAAAGTATTTAGCTCGCATCGAATAAAAAGCAAGATAAAACGCCGAAGAATCCTTCTCGAGGATATAAATTGCATCATTACTTTAGTAACCATTGTAATTCCGCGGCTCTGTGTTCAAGGTAATATTGATCAAGTATTTTCTCAGTGACAGAGAAGAAAAAGAGAGAGAGAGAGAGAGAAATTCAGTTAAATCCGTCAATATTAAATATCCCGATTCGCAAGTCGGATCAACCAGTTTATTTCCGTCTCTAAATTAAACTGCAAATCTCGAGACTCGCGCGGCGTCGTCGTACCTGCGGAGCGCGGGTCGATCGATATTGAACTCCGACCGGAAAAGCACTTACGTGCGATAGACGTACCTCGCAGAAAACAGGCGTGGCGGAAATATTTGCTCTTATCTCGAATGCGAGAGAAAGAGAGAGACAGAGAGAGAACGATCTGAATATCGATCACGTCCACACGCGGGGGACGCGTGTTTACGCATGTTTACGTTTCTGCGTGCTCGGTGCGAGAGAACGCTCCTCTCGGTCGTTGGTTCTTAGCCATCGGTGTGTGGGGCCATATAAACTATCGATCGCACATGTATAATCATTTAATTATCCTAGCGAATACACCGCATAGCAATGTAAACCGGAATTTTTTTTCTCGGGAAAGACAATTAGTGGCAATTTAGCTGATTGCTCTCACAGCAATATTCGTGAACAGCTGCTGCTCGCGAGTTTCGTCCATGAATTATTCCCTCGGATAATAACACGTAAGAACGCGTAAAGAAATTAGTTTTATATTAATTCCTATATATATTAGATCCTTTCATTAAATTTTATTTTAATGTATTGATGATTATGTAAAATATTGTTCGATCATATCCCATCATTTTCGCGAATAATGTTATACGTATTCTAATATCTAAATATCTCAAATTCAGTTTTTAAATACTGAAGAGTTTATACATTCGGGAAGAATTAATTTTAGATTTTATTCATCTGAACGAACAAGAAAGATTAATTAATTTCAGACCCTGTTGGTTTCTTGATATGTTAGAAGCTAATTTCGTTTCTTTGTTAATTCATTTCCTCTCTTTTGTTAGAATAATTCCTTGCGTTATTCTTTATTATCAAATTACGCACAGTACTTAAGGGGTTACGCCGCATCATTGAGGTTTTAGAACAATACCTAATGTTTGGGATTTTTTGTGGGTAAATGGATAGCTTTATTTAAAATCTGTTTAAACATTATTATACATATATAAGAAACTAAAAAAATATTTTTTTATCTTTCTTATGTCCAAAATGGCGGCGCACTGGCCTACACTTGCAAAATCTCTTTTTTTCTATCGGTGTACAGGATTCCAGGTATACGGTTTGACCTTAAACAAAACACAAAGAATTTTCATTATCTACATAATGAAGTACGTAGGAGTTTTTCAAAATATTGATTTTTCCCAAAATATCAGCTATTTTAAGAAAAACTGATACTGGCAAAAAATACACATTTTTCGTAAAATAGTTGCCATTTTGAGAAAAATCAATATTTTAAAAAACTCCTACGTACTTCTATAGTCTTTAATATATAGATAATGAAAATTCTTTGTGTTTTATTCAAGATCAAACCGTGTATCTGGAATCCTGTACACTGATTGAAAAAAGGGATTTTGCGAGTGTAGGTCAGTGCGTCGCCATTTTGGACGTAAAAAAAATTAAAAAAATTTTTTTTGCTTTCTTTTACATATATATATATGTAATAATGTTCTCTAAATATATTTTGAATAAAGTTATCTCAAAAAAAAAAATCCCAAACTTATAGATATCTTTAAGGCCTCAAAGGTGGCCTAATCCCTTAAAGTAATATTTATATAATGTACATACATAAATCGGGAATCTTTGGACGGACAACTCGAGTGAAACACTTCTGTCTCGGCAGCAAAAGTATCATGCGTTGATGACGAATCAGCAGAATTATATCGGCGGCAGCGTGATGACGTACACGTGCGTGTGTCTGTGCAAGTTATATGCGTCATAGTAGTTTCACAGTGATAGTGACAAAGCGCACGGTCTGGCGTAGCCAGAGTGAGAATATGAATCAGAGCGCAAATCGTTATTTTCGAGCCGCGGCGCGATAGCTCGGTGGTCAAAATAAATGTTGATGGCGTCATTAACGTCAAGCGAACAGATCGCGGCGAAACTCATCTTGGTTGCAGATTCAACACGCTGATAACCGGCACGTAAAATGTCAGAGAGCTGTCTAATAGACAAGGAAAAATTCCGAGAACGGACCGTTTGACGTATTGCCATTGTTCAATTATTTTCAACGCGGAGAATTATTCTCGGCCGCGTTCAATGTTCATTTTAATTCTTACAGCAGAGTTTAGCGCAAACAATATTTTTAATATTTTAATATTTCCGAGGCTTTTCTCTGAATTTGCTTATTTCGATAAAAAAATTAAATCGAATATGTTGCAAAAAATTAAAAATTTATTATAAAATACGTTCGTAATATCTGTTAATAATTCGAAGCTTCTTTTAAATTCACAATCAGACGTATTTACGCTGTCGCTTTTTTATTCACATTTTAAGATGTTTCAGATATATATATAATACCAGTTAAAAAAGAAATGATAAAAAAAGTACCAAAAATTTGTTGAAATTTTAAAAATTATTATGAAAAAATTTTAAACGCGCTGAAATTAACTACAAAAAGCAAAACAATAAGTAATTTGACTCGTAATCCTTAATTATATTGTTTAAACATGTTATACTCAGTACGTGCACTAGTTTCATAAAAAAATTACGAAGACCGTAGAGCTATTATCGAAGCTCTATTTCTAAGTCGATATTCGTACACGTATATATCGCACGTCATTTGATTTCGCCGTAAATCAATTCCTCGTGTTCGTATAAATCTTCTCGACCGCTTTATACCCGACGCAAATTCACGAACGATGATCAGCCGAGTAGCATTTAAACGGTCAGCATCACATCTTCATGGCGAATATATATGTATATATGTACACACACATATATATATATATATATATATATAGTCATCGTAGTCGCGCGGATCGTAAGTGGTGACCAAACTATGTATAATGTGTTATGCTAACTGTTCTAACATTGATTTCTGTTATTGAATTACCCCCCTCGGCCGTTGGCTCGATAACATCGCGTGATCGCGGCCGAGCAATTCCGTCGGTATTCCGATTTATTTTTTTTTCTCTCCTTTCGTTCCGCCAAAGCGAAATCCAGTCGAATCCGACGACAGAGGGAAGGGAATTGTCCGGCAGAGACTGACACGGCGTTCAAATGCGAATCGGCGGGGCATGGTAACTCTGAGAAAATCAATAAACTACGAATGTTATTTTAAGCCCGCTTTCACGACGGCACCACGCAGTTGAAAATCCACGCGCGAGGTTCGCGAGCCTGCAGAAGGCGAAATGTCTCTCAATTGAAACGACGGGGCGGGGGGGAGGAATTCTTAATCACTTGTTTATTCCCTCTTCTCCCCTCCCGATCCCAGCTCGCCTAAAGAATTCTCAACAAGAACGCGGCTTGCCGCTCGGGTCGAATCGAGAGGAGCCGAGACAGAATCGTGCGTGACGCGATTAGATTTTAGGTGAATGACATTCGAGGCGAGCCGAGTTCTACGGTCGAAGGACGTATCCTTCGAATGTAGTCACGGATTCGCATTCCCAATGCGTGACTGGTCTATCGGGCGCAGCTCGCACGCGAAGAATTCTCGAAGGGAGAGAAAACCCGATAGCCACAATTCCTGCAGTAATTCCGCTTCCAATCAGAGATATTTTTCTCGCGCTGCTCATCTCGCTTAATTTCATCTTGTCGCTTGTCTGTCATTAATATACTTACACAAACGCAAACGTATCTTTTTTTTTTCTCAGCTTGTGCAACCGTTCCTGATGTGCGCGCGGTTTGCTCATTGAAGCTTCGCGTCGCACAGTGTTGCATTTTTGAATGCGGTAATCAAGGCAAGATGTGACACACTTTCGGGATATATTCCTAGACTCTCGGCTTCTCGGTTTCAGAGACACGTAATCTTGAACGTGGCCTCCTCCGTGCGCCCCGAACTCTGCGCGACGCGAAGACTATGGGAGCCGGCGCGGCGTAACACGTTTGGGGAACCGTAAAAATAGACGCATCCTTGTGCAGGATGAGACGTAAGCGTTTCTCATCTGGCGTTCAAGAATAGAGACGTTTCATGACCGCCCGGACGTTCAAGGTGGCTAGATATCGCGAACGTGGTCAGAGGAGTTGTTACGAAAACAAATTAACACGTATACATACACGAGAATATATCTCTCTTGAATAAGATCGATATAGCGCACATATTTTCAAGATGATACAAAGT